CGGAAAACCATTGGCAGAAATCGAGAATACTCTCCACGTCAGAACCTGACTGACCGTCTGCATGAATGAAAGGAGCTTAAAGATCATGGCGCTCAAGCGGCACTGGTCACAGGCGTCGTGGTCGGCATTTTCTATATTTCTTTTGGCCGAATATACGCCACGCTCTCTTCGGGTATCGTTCACACGGTCTCCTCTCTGCCGCTCTGGGGTTGGTGAGCTTTACCAAGCTTGCCTGTGGCTATGAATTAAAGGAAAGCGCTATCCCCCCGAGTCTTAACATACAGACACAACGCATCATTGAGCATTAGACGGCCAAGGCGAAGAGTTGTGGCTGGCCGCCTAGATGCCTCTAGGGTTAACCGTACCCACCAAGAACGCAGGCCAACCGACGACAGGCACCAGACATGTAGATTCGCTAGCCACGAAGTATAAAGGCTGCAAACATGAAGCCGGTCACTTGCTTGCCTGATTCCTTTGGTTGAACTTTTACCTTTCTGTCTGCTTTACCTGTCTGAACTCAGCACTTTCTTGCTTGTTTTACTTGATTTTTAATCTACTCGATGATGTTATTGACTCACCCAGTCTGCGTCACATGTCGGAACCATGCCGACCTTATCACGTTTCTTTCATCCTGTATCTCTTTCCTTCGGTCGGCAATGGACAGGTTGATCACCGGATAAGCCGTTTTCACAGAAGCGAAAACCTCCCCGTCAAGCCCGACTATTTTGCGGAGTTGCAAGCGTTCCTTTCGGTCTGGTCCGGGTATTATGGAGGGTTTAAGCGACATCACAGGTGGCCCATTACTAGATTACCCACAGACGGTATACGAGCAATTCGAATCAATAGCTCGTCGGCACCATGATCGACCAGCTCTCATTGAGATCAGCAAAGTAAGAGCCCACGAACCTCCGCCGCAAGGATCGAGTCTTCGCCAATGGACGTATAAGGAACTGCTGCATGCCGTGTCAAGCTTTGTGCCCTGGTTTGAAAGCCACGGCATGGGGCCGGGCTCAATCCTCTTCGTCCTCTGCCACAATCGGGCAGAATACATCATTGCCACATTGGCAGCGTATGCAGCGGGTTGGATTCATGTTCCTATCAATCCAAACGAAGTATCTAGCAAAGATGATGTGCAGTATATCATCGACACGGTTGTCAACCATTTCGACCCTGCCTCTATCGGTATTGTGGCTCAGGATCGTTCCGTCCGCCCGAGCCTCGACCGGCTCAGATGGCCGGCCCCAACAGTCCAAGTGTCATTTCTCGATGATCAAGTACCATGGCTCTCCTTCAATCAGATGTCTACTCTTCGAAGCAAGGTAGAAAAGGCAGGGAAAGGAGAAGCGAGATCCGTGCTCTTCACCAGCGGAACAGCATCCCGCCCTAAAGGCTGTCCCTTGAGGATGACGGCATACATTCACGTCTTGATTAATTCGCTCGGTATCGGGAACCTCAAACCTGGCGACAAGCTGCTCTCGACTGCCCCAAGCTATCATGCCTTTGGGCTTCTTTGCACTATTCTTCCTCTGGTTCAGGGGGCATGCGTCGTTTTTGCTGGGAACACTTTCGATCCCTTATTGACTATCGACACAATCCAGCATCAAGAATGCACACACTTGTGTTTAGTTCCCACCATGCTGCACGGCCTCGAGCAGTTCCATTCTACTTTCAATTCTTCCAGTCTACATGCGGTCCTATTCGCAGGAATGGTCCTCAGCCCCGATGCTCTCCGCCGCTGCTTGGAGCTTTTCGGGAACATAACAGTCGAGAACCTGTACGGGATGAGCGAAGGGGTTGTGGCTACCACCGGTCCCGTGGGGGATGTAAGTCGCATCTCGCATGGTCAAGATGTGGCAGTCGGGAGACCTGGCATGGGGGCGCGGATTCGTATTTGTGACCCTGGTCAGCGATCTCCTCTTGCAGTGGGACTGCCAGGTCAATTACACTACGCTGGGAGTTCCTTGATTCAGCACTATCTCGGGGCATCCGACGACGATTTTCATGATGAGCCAGACGGTCTGCGCTGGTTCAACACGGGTGATCAGGCATTTGTCGGGACGGATGGGCTGGTATATCTGGTTGGTAGGTACAAGGATTTGATCATTCGTGGCGGAGAGAATCTTTCTCCGGCTAGGATTGAAGGCGTCTTGGCTGAGGTCCCGGAGCTGCGTTCATTGAACACACAGATCGTGGCCGGTGGAGAACCGATTGCTGGGGAAGTCCCAGTGGCTGTCGTCGCCGTGGCTCCTAGTGCCAAGCAAGTCAGCTTGATCCAGAGCACAGTACGCTCGGTACTTGGGGTGATCCATGTCCCCACGGCTGTGGTTTCGCTTCAGGATCTGGGCATTGATGACTTTCCACGAACGGCTGCAGGGAAGATACGAAAATCTAATTTGTGCGCTCTCTATCGCTTATTCGAAGAGCGCCAAGCCCAGCATGGCGTTGGCATGATCGACCAGCCGGTTGACGTCACCGAGGCAGTGACAGGGGTGTGGGCGCGCACTCTCGGGATCAAGACATCCGAGATCGATGTGGACGCTCCTTTGTCGAACTTCGCGGATAGTATCTTGCAGCTCACCACGCGGCACCAAATCGAAAAGGCTACCGGACGGTGTGTGGCTCTGGCTGAGTGGCTTCAAGCGACTAGCATCACAGAGCAGATATCTCTTCTCGCCAGCAGTGATGTCGCTCCCCACACCAATGGCGATGGTAAGGATCTCGGTAAAGACCAGCAAGTTCCAGATATCGATTCCGCGGTCTACGCTACACTTATGCAAAGAGCTTTCGAGCGGACCAGACTAGCCGTGGAGAATGTCCTGGGTAAAGACGGACTGTCTTGGGAGGATGTGGCAGAAGTCATCCCATGCAGAGATGCTGTACAGGTCGCATGCAAGTCTCGCTTGATCGACAGTGCCAGTATTCGGACATGTATGTTGTGCAACGGAGCTACAGCTGAGGTTAGTACGACACTTTCTTCAATCTTTATCTTGTCTAACGTGCGACCTTGGTAGAGCGCTCGACATGCTTTCGTTACCGCACTAGCAGAGCATCCCATCTTGCTATCCTACCTCGTGGTCGATGACAAACACCTTGATGCTCAGCTCGGGCTATATGTGGTGCTTCGTCAAACCCCTGAGATTCTTGATCGGTGCATCCACAGTGAGCTAGTCGTCGACAGCCTCGAAGAACTCACCAGGATAACCACCGAACATCCGTTCCGAATGCCTGCTGTCCTTCCAGGTCCCAATTTCGGTGCCCTGATCGTTTCCGTCCGGGAGACACAATCCGCCGCCATCATTACAAATATCGCCCACACGGTAGTCGACAAAACAAACCACGGCCTTTTCAACCGCGATCTGGACAGCGCCCTCAGCGGAAATTCTCTCGACGCGCACCTCTCCTTCAAGTCCTGGGCGGACACTCAATACAAACAGCGCACGTCCCCGAAAGCCACCGAGGCGGTCAACTTCTACGTCGACTCTCTCCAGGGCCTGAAGACGCACCACCACGCCCTCTGGCCCATCTACACCCCAGAGATCAATGTCCCGCCGCACCGACTCCACAAAGCCGGAGAAACCATCGTTTTCGCCGCCCCCTCAATCGCCCGTCTCCGCCAGCAGCAGCCTCATCTCACCGCACCGATCCTCGTCAAAGCCGCCTTGATCCTCCTAATCCTCTCTCGCACAAACCACACCCACGCCCTCTTCGTCGGCATGGAAGCCGCCCGCTCCGAGTACGCTTTCCCGGACCCTGGCGCTCCCGCCCTGCCCTCCGACGCGGTCGACGTCGCCGGCCCGACCTTCAATTGGTCCTTCAACCTCGTAGCCTTCCGCCCGGATGAAACTGTTCTCGACTTCCTCATGCGCGTCTACCGCGAGCAGCTCAAGCAGACGAAGCATGCAAACGTCCCTTGGCATCGCGTGTTCGAGGGACTGGATCTTTCGGCAGATGAGATCTTGACCAAGGTTACCAACGCGTGTGTGTTCAACTGGATGCCGGGGCTGGGGCCGGACATGCTCGGGGCAAATCCGTATACGAATCTTAAGCCGCTGGTGTTTCATGTTCGACCCAAGGTGGGCCTGGTGTTGAATGCGGGGCAGGGGGGCCCGGATGGGAGTCAGTTGGTGTTGATGGCGGAGGGGGCGATTGGGAATGGGCCGGTGGCTTGGGGGGTGAGGGTTTTGGAGGAGATGAAGCGGAATGTGCTTTGGGTGTCTGAGGAAGGGAATGTGGGGAGGCCGGTGAGGGATTTTGTGGAGGCGTTGGGGTGGGATTTGGCGTCATAAGACTCTTGTGATGGCTGATGAGGTTGATTGTAACGGGCCATACAGAGAGGATGGTAAGAGGGCGTTGCGAGCTCTATGTCTGGTCTGTTAGGTCTTGGGCTGTTGGAAAAATGATATTATCCTGGTGCAGCTCACGGGTTTCTGCGGCTCAAGCAGCCAGTATACTCTTCCCAGACAGGACATCATGTTCACTCACTCTTCTCGTATACACAAGCACAAGCGTGCGTGCAATGGCCCGGGAGTCTTACAACCGAAACCCGAGGGGACCTCTTCGTGTCGAGATCAAGGTCGATACCGCGACAGCAATAGATTGACCTTATGTGAATGTAATGGGATTGTATCAGGTCTTTCGGTGTAGGCGACATCCGTAGGCCGCAGGTTAATGGCGTGGACCGTTCAATTCGGGCGATGACTGGGTGAATCCCTACAGCTAGGTGGATTCACAATCAGAGGATGGGACAATAGATTGTATTGCAAGTTAATCGAGTCCTTCATTGAATGTAATGTTTGTGAATCACATCGTAGCCACCAGAAATCGAGCTGTCAAGCCGACAACCTAGTCAACTTCGATCTTCTCTCAACCTCTGAACAACCAATACAATCCAACCTAGCCTCCCGAAAAGCTTGGAGATAATATATCCCAAGCTATCTAGGTTCAACTATCCTGTTTCCTACTTTGTTCACTCCTCAGACTTCCAGACCAAGCGTCCAGGAATGGCACCTCAGGAAATCAATGACAAACCTAAACGGAAACGAGAAATACCTTCCCCACGATACTCGCCCTACGGCGATGGCAGACCCCAAAGCCCAGAGGAACGCACGGCAATCCTAGCTTGTCGATTCCGGGATGAGATGAGCATCAGGCGCAAGAACCTCGACTCGGAGTACGGGGATAGCACGTTGCATACGGTAACGAGATGGCGTTCCCATCAGTAAGTGCCTCGTAAATCGCACCTCAGGCCTCAGGATCCGCTCGAGGAAACTGATGCATACATGTAGCAACTTTTACATCGATGGGTTTCCAGACGCACGCGGAGGTTCGGTCGGGACGCGGGCTATACCAAGCCTACGAGATCTTCGTCACTTCAAGGCACCCCCACGTAAAGCTCATCATGAGCAATGCGGTTGCTCCCGAGAATGAAGAGGATCTACTCCGGTCTGAGCTGTTGATCATCTTGGCGGTAATGCATTCGCGATTGCGGGTCGAAACGATGTTAGAACACGTCGTCATGCCAGTAAGTCTTTGCTCTCCTTTGAGCTTGCATCATCATTCCCTTGGCCTATCCCTACTTGAATAGTCGCTTACGTGCCTTATTTGAAGGTTGGTGCTTTCCGCATTCATGCCTCCATGCCGCGCGGGCTCTAGGATTACGATTCACGCCGGGGAAAGAACCCAAGAGTATGCATGGTAATAGCTATGTTATGCTCGGAGTCTCTACGGCTTTTACCGACATACCGCGTCGTCTTTCCCGATGACAGCGATTTTCGGACGCTGATGCATCAAGTGTATCACCGAGTTCCTCTTGGCAGGGGCCAAGGGTCTATCAGTGCACCTTCACAGACGCTCGGGGATTTCATCGTGGTATAAACCAGGCAAGCGTCGCTCTGTCGAGGAGGATATCTCTCCTTGGATTTCCACGAGAAATACCCCAGCGCCGGGTCCAAGAGATTTGATGGAGTGCTTGATCACTAGTTGTCTGGCTCCAGACTACTCAACCTGTTCCTTAACATTTCGTTACGCTCTTCCTGCTCAAGTGTCTCCTTTTATCATTGTCCATCAAATACACGCTTTAAAGCTTCATTTCCTTACTTCTTTCGACGAAAAACCGAAGAGCTGACTCACTTCTGGATCCCCAGGCTATAGCGAGCCGGTTGCATGATCGTTCTTCCTAACTCTGCTTTGTTATTCATGTTAGATGCTGGTTGCGTTCGTGTACGTGCCGATGGATATCCTTTCCCCAGTTGCTCGAGCCTTGAAACCATGGGATTCCTTTTTTTTAATGGTGACCTATTCCGTTATACAGGTCTTTTCAAGTTTATTTGTCGGTGTTAAATCCAGGCCAGGTCTCGTCAAACGATGTACTGTACTGGTTGGATAGTTTCTGAAGGATGCTGCACTGAATACAAGACCAGGGCTTTACTTGCCCGGCCATGGTTGCCTGGGTTCTTAGCAAGATGAGACATTACCAATGCTTAATTAGAAAACGGTATCCAACTCTAAACTACACACATTCCCTCTACTCCCGGACAAACTATCTATGCTGTTATGAACCTCCGATTGTCTGCCACTTGCATTCGTCCCGCATGAAGAAGGAAGCCTGTATCTTTGATTACATTCCGCATTGTATCCAGACATCTTTGCCATGATTATTGATATCATTATAGGAAGCTATCATAAGACTACGGTGCAGGAACAACTTCTGTAGACGAAGAATATCATAACCATGTATTCCAAGACTTGAAAACTAGGTATTTGATTGCGTTAATACTTCCTTCAGCCTGTATTTATGATTCCACCCATCAAAAGCGCTTATACCTGGTGCTACTGTACGTGTAGTCCACGAGAAACGGCCCTTGAATGGACTGTGGTTATGGCCCCACATAGTCTCAAATGCCGCATTTGCTATTGAGGGCTTTCTTTCTACTACTTCCTTGTACTGAAACAAGGGCGATTGGTGCGTCAACCTGAAGGACTGCCAGAGTATCAAGGACTGCCCCATCGAAGGCAGTGTGTGTTTGACCACGTGCTGCTCCGGCTCGGCCAAGTGCATGCCTCCCGATAAGCTGTGCACGACCACCATGTCGCGTATCTTCCGGCCCCGTGAGGTTGTTGGCAGCGGGGATGTGGACGAGGTCTCCGCGGCGGCGGCGGCGGGCGCTCATGACCGTTCCGAGGAGGGGCATGGGGTTTTCGCTCGCCAGGAGGGCGAGTTCAGTTCCCCGATTCGGCCTGGAGATGCTGTGTGAGAATACTTTTGTTTTGCTCCGCCGGAATGCGCATTATGGGGTCATGCTAAAAAGCAAAGTATGTGCTTCTTATTCTGAGATCTTGCTCTTTCCCATCGCCTCGCTTGTTGTTTCTTATTTTCAGGGGGTTTATTCTGAAGACTCTACGAGGGATGAACAACAAAAGCGTGGCAAGTCAGTTGGATCGTCCCTCACGAGTTGAATATAAAGTTGACTGTTCTGTGCACGCCTCTTCTCGTTAAGCACCCGTCCCTTCAAGCATTCGCCTCGCTGGGGACCTTGTTCTTCCGGGATTCAGGTTGAAGTAGGTTCATACATAAGACAAATTCTTCTATCATGTTATAGCTATGAGTAGCCTACGGCCTTACCTTCGGCTGCAGGTATCATCATTCTTGTTCTGTGTTAAGGACTACTACATACAGCCTTACATACTAGGACTGTATTAAGCCGTAGCAACATCTCGGACGGGCAAGCCCTCAAGCACAAAGCGATCAGGGAAATTTGGGTACTGCAAAGTATGATGAGTCGCCTGCCGTGCGCACATCAGAAGCAAATACCACCCGCTGTATTACGGCGTGACTCACTGTCCGATGACTGAGCTGTTTAACCTGAGAAGACTTACAACGTAGTTCTTTGCGGGGATATTGATCCAATGCGCGCAGTGGTGGTCTGTATATCTTCGCACCGTCGTCCACCCGCGCCCCAAAATGGCCATATACAACAGAGGAATGCCCGTTCAAAGTACTGTTGTCGAGTCTCAAGCCCCGAAAGCTTGAAGACATTTGTGAATCACCATAATCATAGTTCTGGGGCGATACCGTTGACAACGCCACGACACCATATACTCAAATCAGGATGACAAGCGTGTTTCTATCCGCTTCCGGATTCCGACGTCCTTGTGTTATCGGGGTATGACTTTGGCATTGAGATGAACAAAATCCACGGTGGCATGATAACGTTTTCACTCTCATCTGCCCACACGGCTTCCCCCTGTCGCCCCGTTAGTCCGAGGCGGCAAATGACTTCAAGCCTCGGGACCTGGGTTCCGTGCCCAGGGTATAAATGCCGACGGTGGCGGATTTGACTACGGGCCAGGAGGCATGGCTATTCGAAAGACGATCTAGGTTGATTTCATTATGTTCGACAGGAAAACACTCTCCGAAGCAGACTTGGAATACTGAAAATAGAAATGCCATTGCTCATGAGAATTTACATACACCTTCCCCCCCTCCCAGAGTGAATTTCATCACCAGCGTCTGAAGGGTCTGAGAATGCATGTACAGTACTTCACAGGTCGGCTTAATGTCCCATCGGAACCGGTCTGTCCGCACTCTTCAGCCTCTCCTCAATGATATCCTTCCGCTCCTTCCGCAGTTGCCTCGCATACTTGACGCCGAAGCCATGCTCGAAGACCTCCTGGACCTCCTCCAACAGCAGCCCAGATACCTCGGGGTAGAAGAAGTAGATCCAGACGTAGGCGATTCCGCAGATAGCCGCGTAGAAACCGAAGGCGCCGGAGGGGGTCATCGCCTTGGCCATGGAGAGGAACGTGCTGGACACGATCACGTTGCTTCCCCAGTTGGAGCAGGTCATCCACATCGTGCCCATGGCACGGACCTCGAGGGCGAAGAAGTCGGTGCTCATCCACGCAGTGTTACCCACGGAGACGCCGTAGAAGATGACAAACCAGATGATGAAGACGAGCACGACGATCGCTGCGGGGCCTACCCCGCTGCCGATGGGCTGCATGGTCTCCATGTCTAGGGGAATGAAGTGGAAGGCAACGGCTACAGCCACCAGACCCACTGACATGCCCCAGACCGTGGAGAGAAGCAGTCGCCGGCGGCCCATCGTGTCGACAACAAACATGTTCACTCCCGTCATGATGAAGTTGGTGCCGGCGACGACGAGTCCAACGGCAGTGGAATTGTCGAAGCCGACCAGTGCAAAGAGGGTGGACGAGTAGTACATGAGTGCGTTGAAGCCGGACATCTGCGAGATCACCATCAGTCCGCAGGCGCTGATCAGCGCGCGCAGGTTGCGCGGGACCGTGTGCAGCTGCACGATCTTCGACCATCCGCTGCCGGTCTCAGCGAGCTCGCGCGCTTCGTCGCAGGCAATGCGGATGGAGTCTATTTGGGCATCAATCTGGGCTTCCGTAGCGGAGGTGCCGTAGACGCGGCGGAGGACCGCGCGCGACTCCTCAAATCGTCCGTGGTAGACCAGGTGACGGGGCGATTCGGGGCAGAACGGCATGAGCACAGCGAGGATGATGGCGGGCACGGCACCCAGGCCCACCATGTATCGCCAACCATGGTTGACATTGTTAAAGGCCGCACCGACGGCGTACGAGATCACTTGCCCACCGGTGATAGACATGTTGTTGAGTCCGATAAGGCGACCGCGGGCGCGCGCCGGTGCGATTTCCGCGATGTAGAGTGGGACGACCATCGCGGCGGACCCCACGCCCAGGCCAACAACTACCCGGCCCACCGCCATCTGTGCAATCGTGTACGCAGCGGCTTGTAGGACTGAGCCTACGACAAATAGAACGCAGCCGAGATAGATGGCCATTTTGCGGCCCCACTACTGGCTGTTAGCGCTTACAAACTCCTGTTTTTAGAGCACGGGAAGACCTACGCGGTCAGCAGTATTTCCTGCAAAGATGGCGCCAATGAACGCTCCGCCTGAGCAGAGTGACGTGATCATCTCTTGCTCGGAGCTGGAAGTAGGCCGACCGTTCAGGTCATCGTGAAGAACGACAAGTACCCCGGAGATGATACCAGTGTCGTAGCCGAAGAGCATACCAGCAATTGACGCTGTGAACGCCACAAGCCACACAAACCAGGTAATTGGGATGTCGGCGACACTGGTTGCGAGCCCATTGGGATCTGACCCCGGAGTGGATTCTGCAACCTCGATGTGCTTGGTGTCGAGCTTAGCATCGAGACTGTCCTTCGCGGTAGAGTCCGCTTTGGTACTGTAGGAGTCACTGTCTCGAGACATGATGGCAACTCGGCCAGGGAAACGGAGAAGAGAAATTTGGAGGAATCGAAAGATAAAGGCTATGGATCTAGAGAGCAGACCTTGATTCTCCTCCCCCATAGAGTTCTGCAGTGGGTATTTATACCCCAGACTGTGAAGTCATTGGGGAACGGGCGCTATCGCCGTAATCGGCAGGCCGAGTCGATCTTGGCCCCAGTTCAATAGCCGTAAATGCGGGGGAATTGCACCGGTCTGGGGAATCACTGGCACTAAATTGGCTAACGCCACCCATTGGGTAAGGATCAGCGCTCACTCCAGGCTGCAGTTGGTCAGTTACTGCATTGGCAACGTCTCATCAGACTATCCATCCCTGTATTACGGCTATCGCTGTCGGAGTCTTGTACTGCCCCCTATCTGGGCCCCGCTCAGTTGACGAGGCAATGACCTCATGGCTCCAATCTCTTCGCCGATAGAGATTCAACGGGTGCCAGCAATGTTGATTCAATGAAATCCTCGCTATCTTTTCAAACTGAGGTGTCGTAGAGTGCTCCTGACAGCGTGCAGGGCAGATTGGGATTGGGTTACATCGGGGGTTCTAGGCCTTGGCCGGCCCGGTCGAGTTCATTCCGCCGCTCGGAATGTGTCCGAACTCATTGCATGCCTGGCTTTCCACTTTGTGCAGGTTTGGACGAGAGGACATCTGAAATAAGATAAAGAGGGTTATCTGCGTTATCTCCAAGCCCCTTGTCGCGCACCACTTCGTGTTTCGGTAACGCGCTTCGCAGTTTTCGACGGAGTCCTATAGTCAATTTGAGCTGAACTCCAGGTTTCGTCGACTTTCAGTGACTGGTTTCAAGTGCGGACGTGGTTCGCCCCACATAATCACCTTGCAAGCTTGCAAGAAACATCCATCTTGGGAGGGCTCTCGCCCATTCGCTGGCCGATGGTATAATCTCCCGAATTATGTTCCTTTCCCACTTTCACCCAACGACAACTTGTTCTGCGCGGGAAAAGGTATTCGAGCCAGCCGACCATTGCAGAAGAAAAAGACTCCTCGCTGCAGACATCCTGTTCCCTACTGACCTGCTGCACAATCTCTTGCACGTCGGCAGTATTGCGATAACCAATTGACTACAAATTTCCGAAGCCTGAGTTCGCATGCTGGGATTTGCCCGCCTGGCAGTTGCCATGATCTCTCTTGCCGGTAATCCCGTTGATTGAAACCCGACTATCGTGCATTTGCCCCTGGACTGTCGGCAAATGTAGTCTTTGATTTGTCCGTGATTGTTCGTCTGCATCGTAGTGGATCGAAAGAGGGCGATGCTCTGCATTGCGCTGCGAATCATGGAACGGTTGTTTGCATTGCCCCGATTTTGAAGAAGTCCGACGCACACGACAGCGTACGATTGGTGTGTAGACCTTTCGCATTGGTCTCGGGCAAAGCGACAACAGTTGCCGTGATCAAGCTCATTGATTGAGGTAAGGTGACAGTCTCTGTACCCATTCTCTCAGTCCTCGCAAAAAGCCGTTCTGAGTCTTGGCCTATCGTAAGTCGTTCATGTGACAGTTGGAAGGGTAAAGATCTATCAAATCCGGCTTCCTTGTGAGAAATGAATTAACAGAATCCGGGATGTAGTTTGTTGATGTTTACTTTATGTCAAGATTGTAGATTTGCCAGCAGGTGTTGTTCGGCTCTGGGCACTATATATTCTGACAGCGGAAAGAATGAAAGTAGTTTGAGTGGAAGAAAGTGGCTCTGACTAAGTATAGTATAGAGAATAAGTCAAATTCCTTGGATATCGGAAGAGAGGAAGGATCCTATCATCGATGAATCAAAAGATGTTGTGAGGTTGTAAGAACAATGAGAAGAGACTCCGCCCAGGCAAGACCAGTTCTGCCTCAGGCCACAAGGAGTTTAGGCTGCAAGGTGCTGGTTGCCTCAGGCGGCCAAGTTTCCCCTCACGGGCGCTTTCCTTCTCAACTCTTCCCACTCACTGTGAATTCGGATCACAAACAACCGCTTGAGCTGTTACCCCAACATGAATCCAGTCTTCCAAACGCTCCAGATATTCACAGCTTCTTGATTGAGTTGACTACTACAATTATCAAGTCGGAATGTGCCTATGATGCCTATGATGCCCGGGCAGCAAGATCTGAACAACAGCCTCGCGGGACTAGCTCGAGCGGGGGCCTCGGCGAGGCTGACAGCCTGGTGTTGTGATCTCCTCGAGCCGTCCTTCTCAACCGCATCTCAAGCTTCAGACCGTGACTAGTAGTATGTGTGTCTTCCTGCTGATTCCAGAATCTCTCTATGTCCTTCTGTCGACATGAGCGACGCCTCCGCATTCCCTCACAATCCCACCAAGAGACGGAAACTCAACACGGAGGATGGTCATTCACACAGTCATGATGATTACACGATTGGTTGGGTCTGCGCCCTTGCCCTTGAAGCTGCTGCTGCCAAAGCAATGCTTGACGAGATTCATCCGACCCTCGAAACCCACCCGAATGACAAAAATGCATACACCCTGGGAGCGATCAGTGGGCACAATGTGGTGATCGCCTGTCTCCCCGCTGGCACCTATGGCACTACCTCAGCCGCGACAGTTGCGAGCTCCATGGTCTTTACCTTTGGCTCCATGCAGCATCTCCTCATGGTGGGGATCGGCGGAGGGGTACCATCAGAATCCAACGATGTGAGGCTTGGTGATGTCGTCGTCAGCGTTCCGACCCCGGGATGTGAGGGCGTGATACAGTACGACTACGGGAAGACCATTCAGGAAGGACACTTTGAGAGAACAGGTACCCTGAGTAAACCCTCCACATCCCTCCTGGCCGCAGTCACAAAGCTCCGAGCCGACCACTATTGCAGCGGGAATCAGATTGCAGCGCTCGTCGCTCAGATGCTGGCCAACCGCCCATCGATGGTACAGCAATTCACGCGTCCCGAAGCTGAACCGGACAGACTGTTCCGTGCGAACTATGAACATGACCCATCCCAGCGCACATGCGTAAATTGTGATGCGAACGAATTGATCTTGCGCTCAGCACGCAAGGACACCCGGCCAGCTGTTCATTACGGCCTGATCGCTTCCGGAAACCAGGTGATCAAGCATGCAGGCACCCGTGACCGACTGGCTGCGAAGTTGGATATATTGTGCTTTGAGATGGAAGCCGCCGGCCTGATGGATAACTTCCCGTGCCTAGTGATTCGAGGGATTTCAGACTATGCCGATTCGCATAAGAACAAGCAATGGCAGGGATACGCAGCCGCCACGGCTGCTGCTTATGCTAAAGAGCTGTTGGCGGTTATCAACGCCACAGGGCCCAGAATAGCTCGAGAATCAACAACAAAGACAACATCCGGCGGTGTCGACCATCGCAGGTGTGTGATAGACGCATTGCGGTTTGAACAAATAGAGAGTCGACAGGCAACAATCAAAGCTGCCCATGCTAAGACATGCCGATGGCTCTTGGAGAAACAAGAATATCTGGATTGGCTTGACACAGACAAGGTCGTTGATCATCATGGCTTTCTCTGGATCAAAGGCAAAGCAGGAAGCGGCAAGTCAACCATAATGAAATTTGCGTACCAACACGCCCAGGCGGCCAGGGATGACAATATTGTGATTGTTTCATTCTTCTTCAATGCGCGTGGTGAGCAACTTGAAAGAACGACCGAAGGCATGTATCGGTCCTTGCTCTTGCAGCTGATGGAGGCTGTGCCTAATCTTCAAGTATTATTGGATCGAGTTCCTTTGCCACCTAATCACAACAGCCAGAATTCTTCCATCCTGGAAATCGAGAGGCTTCAAGAGATCTTCCGCTGTGCCGTGACCTCCCTCGATGGAAAGCATCTGATTTGTTTTATCGATGCGCTTGATGAGTGCGACGTGGAGCAGGTGCGAGCCATGGTAGAGTTCCTCGAATCCTTAGGACAATACGCGACGTTATCGCAGATCAAACTTCATGTTTGCTTTTCCAGTCGTCAGTACCCGTTCATCACGGTGGAGAATGGAATCGAATTGATTCTCCATGACCAAAAAGGCCATGGGGAGGACATCGCTCGATACTTGCGCAGCGAATTGAAGATCGGACGAAGTAAACAGGCTGATCTCATTCGAACTGAGATATCAGGCAAAGCATCTGGCATCTTCCTCTGGACTGTTCTTGTTGTTCAGATCCTTAATCGCGAATATGAGAGGGGTCGTCTGCATGCGCTGCGCAAGAGGCTTTCCGAGATACCAAATGAGCTGGGCGAACTTTTCAAGGACATCTTGACTCGCGACAATGCTAATTTGGATCAGCTCTTGCTATGCATCCAGTGGGTCTTATTCAGCAAGCGACCGCTGAGAAGAGAGGAGCTCTACTTTGCCATTCTTTCCGGCCAGCCGGACGATCTCTCGGATGCCTGGGACCCCGATGACATTACCCTGGACGACATGGAGCGGTTCATCTTAGCGACGTCGAAAGGCCTGACCGAGACAACCAAGTCACGACATGCGACCGTGCAATTTATACATGAATCCGTCCGTGAGTTTCTCTTGAGAGGGAATGGCATCAGAGAGCTTTGGCCTGGCAAGCATGACCGCCTCGATGCATTGAGCCACGATCGCCTCAAAATGTGTTGTCAAAATTATTTGACGACCGACATCCGAGGCTCACTGGGTGTTCCTGACGAGCTTCCCATTGCGTCATCCGAGAGTGCTCGCGACATACGATCTGCAGTGATTTCCCGCTATCCGTTCTTCCAATATGCAGTATCCAATGTCCTGTACCACGCCGATGCTGCACAAAATGGTGGTGTGGACCAGAGCGAGTTCATTGATCGCTTCCCTCTCACTGAGTGGATTCATCACAGCAATATGATCGAGCAGGCCCAAATCCGACGCTACACATCGTCTGCAAGCCTCTTGTATATCCTTGCAGAGCACGACCTCCCTAATCTCATAGGCATAGTATTGGTGGATACACCAGATCTGCAGATAGCGGGTGAGAGGTACCATTACCCCATTCTGGCTGCTCTGGCAAAAGGGAACGAGGCCGCAGTAAAAGCAATCTTGGCACCAAGCCAGTCCCTTCGAGGCAGCGAGGAAACTCATAAGATGCGGAGCACGGAATTACCATGGCTGCTTCAGCACGGAAAGACAATCAAAATGCGGAAACTCCAATCATTGATCACCTTCACGGTTGTCAATCGGATATGCTCCCTGGGAGTTCTTTTGCTGGCAACCGGGCGTCTGCCAAGTGATTCCAAAAGTCAACACTTGCTACTATGCCAGGCTACTGATGAGGACAGGCCAACAGTAGTTGACTTTCTGCTCCGGGTTCTCAAAGTTCACCCAGACGGCTGCGGGAGCGGACCTCAAGGGACACCGCTCCGTCTAGCAATCGAACTTGGACGAGAGCATATATTCTCTAGGCTCCTTGCAGATTGTCGTGTCAATCTCGATCGCATGTATGATGAGGATGGGCTAACTCCATTGGCCTGTGCGTGCACTGAAGGTCGGCTTGCTTTCGTCCGGGATCTGTTGGCATCTGAGCGAATCCAATGTGATCGGGGTGCTTGGACTGGCCGAACACCACTATCTTTTGCGGCGGACAAGGGCCATCTCGAGATCGTCCGGTTGCTACTCAAGACCGGCAAGGTCCGAATCGACAACGCAGATAAAGAAGGCTGGACACCCTTGTTGTATGCATGCTTACATGGCCACAGCCAGATAGCTTGCGAGTTGTTGAGCACAGGACAGGCGAATCCGAACCATACGGGCTTGGACCTATCAAGCCCCTTGATCCTAGCTGCCAAGTATGGACACGCAGAGATAGCCTTCCACTTGCTGGCTATGCAGAATATTCGCCCGAACATTCCATACTACGATCATCGCACCCCATTGCACATTGCCGCAGAGAGAGGTCACCGCGAGGTTGTCGAGCAGTTGCTGGCTCATCCACAAGTGAATCCTGATGCTGAAGATGGGTTAGGTAGAAGGCCGATTGGGATTGCAGTGAAGAACGGCCGTGCGGATATTGCGCGCCTACTCTTGGCTACTGGACGCGTCGACGTCAACGTTATATCGCAAAAGTCTCTGGAATCGATCATTGAAGACGACAGCCGGGATTTCAATGCAGGGGCACTTAGAGACGCCGGCTGATGGATCCCGGTGTTCGTTTTGTCGAAGTCGGCAATTGTCCTTGTGGCAACGCTTCGTGGGCACTAGAAGTTGTCTTTTAGTTCACGATTGTCAGCTTGAGTGCGATAAACTTATGGTCTTCAAATCCGTAACAACCTTGTGTCTAGACCCAATCTCGCGTCAGACCACTGGACAGGAGCAAGTTCTCACGTGAATTCAATCTATCCATGCATTGCCCCGCCATTAAATAAGCAGCACAGAACAAACATTCATCCAGGGTCGGAGTCTGCAGTCGACCCCACTGTTCCTTGGCTTCATAACCCCGAGGTACCATGCCACCTCCCCGTCTCAAGCGCACCCGGACGGGATGCCTGACCTGTCTCCGGCGGCGAGTCAAATGTGGTGAAGAAAAGCTTATGTGTCACAGATGTCAGACTGCCAACCTCGTCTGTGCCGGCTACCAGCAGAGCCGGCATGTCGTGCCTGTCGTTTTCACGGGAGAAGCGGATACAGACGCACCCTCCTCTGCCCCGCTTGTAACCTCGTCTTCAGCGTCCCAGTTGGTTTTAGCCCAGTACGTGCCAGATGTGGTGCGATCGCCTGAAGACCCACATCAACGCACTGCTTTACTAGCAATCTACCACCAATACGTGACTAGCACCGTCCACCGGTTCTTCGCAGGCAGCGGCCGTGTATTTTGGCGCGACACAGTCGCACAGATGGCGTGGGCGGACGATCCGGTCTGCCATGCGATTCTGTGTCTCGGGGCCCTGCACCGGGCCGCGCTACTCCCGGCGGGCCATGCGCAGAAGGGCCAAATGAGAGCGAAGGGTGTGAATGCCTACACCAGTGGCTTGGAACTTGCGCGGGGCCACTGCAGCACTGGGATCCGGCAGGTCGGGGTTAGTTCGGTTGGGGTTATAATGGTCTTTGCGTTGGTGAAGGTAGTATACCCAGCTCTGCCATCCCATCCACGAAGAGTTTGTCTGACTATGTGGATAAAAGTAGGTATTCTTGAAACACCTGTCCGGTGCTGGACGCCACCTCGGCGGGGCACAGAGACTGTTCTGCGAGCTTGTCGGGTCGGCAAACCCTACGGAGGATCTTAGATGTATCGAGGACCCGCTCACGCGTCTGCAATTCTCCATCCAGAATCTGACGTCTGGGACCGGAGGTGAGGCTGTTCCGGAGCAAACAGCTGTAGCCCCCTTTCCTCACTATCCAAGCCTCTCATACATCAACGATGAAGATCTCCTCTTCTCAGACCACAGTCATCTCCTCCAGGTTGTAGCCTCTTACCGGGACGACAGCCAGCTCGTGTGGCTACCAATCGAGCACACAACCACCTCCGTAAACAGAGAACCACTCAATTTAGTCTATAGGGGTATGGGATAGTTTGGATTGCTTAGTTTTGGTTGGGTTGGTGTGGGGTTCTTTTTGGGGGTACTGAGAGGATGGGATTTACTGTGCATGGTATGGAGATTGAATAAGTATGAATTAGCCTCGCAAAGAGGATGAAATTAATTGCTGGTTGGTTTAGTTATACCTGATAGGGAATGGGGGAGCCCTTACCTTGCGCTTTGTGAATAGTAGGTACTGTACTTGGTGCACGATACCGAAGGCTTATTCGGAGAGGCCAAGGGCAGGTGCGTAGCGTAACCCATCGTTATGGGATTAGGTCAGATCCACTAACTTACCTCTCCCCCTGTTCCTCCTTCTGCTGCTGCTGCCGTGACGACCGCTCCAGCGCCTGCTCCCACTGCTGCTGAGCCAGCGCGAACTGTCGAAACTCCTGCATCGGCTGCCCCTGCTGCATCTGCTGTGGCTGTGGCTGTGGCTGCTGTTGCTGCGGCTGCTCCTGCCGAACCAGCCGGAACCTGTGAAGCCCCTGCATCTGCTGTAGCTGTTGTTTCTTTGACAGCTGTTTCTTTGACTGCTTTTCCTGCGGCTGCTGTTGCTGTACCTGCTGTTGCTGTACCTGCAGCTGTCGCTGTGGCTGTGGCTCCTCCAGCAGCAGCCGTGAACCCCGCTCCCCATGCCGCTGTTCGAGCACCATCGATCCGGCAAACTGGTCCTTCCGCAGCAGCAGCTGGTCACGCACGCCGACGATCCGGTCGTCCAGCGCCCGGTTCCGCTGCTGCAAGCCGGGCCCCGTCGTGGCCTCGACCGCGGGATGCAGCGTGCTCTTGACGTTGACCCACCGCACGAAGCGGCTGCAGTACTCCAGCCCCTGCATCCTGGTGCAGACGAAGTAGTAGTACGTGTCGTCGGGGCGGCACCAGAAGCGCGCGAGGTACTGGTCCGGCTCCAGCACGAGCGGCCGGTAGCCGTCCAGCACCCGCATGGCCTCCACGTCCTTCTGCTCCAGCAGCTGCAGCAGGTGGTGTCCGTCCCAGCTGAGGCTGGCCTCCGGGTGCGGGCGCACGAAGTGGTTGGTCAGCGTCGCGTCGAAGTGCGCCGGCGGATCGTCGGGCCCGTACACGCAGCGGCCTGGCAGGCCTCCGTAGGGAAGGCTGCCGATGTCTGTGACGCGTGGGAGGAAGGGGCGTGGCTGGTTGGGGACACGGGACTGGGACTGGGACATGTTGGTGATCTGAACACACAAAATCAGTCGGTCTGAATCTGGGTTATTGGGATACCTTGGGTGTTAGTCGATTGACTAATGCTGTTTGGTGGGGTTGGTATGGGGATCGGGTATTGCTTTGCTCGGCTGTGTGGACATTTATAACTATTGCGAGGGGCCTATGATCGGGGGGTTGATGAGGCTTTTGTCGAGTGTTCATGATGATCGTCGGCTATCTTCTTTGTAAATGCAATTGTAGACAATAGTCAAAGGGCCGCGGTCGTACACAGATGGTGTTTATCTTTTATCGCGTACCGCTAGACAGGCATTTACCACTGAGAGTTGGAGGTTTACTTTTAGTACACAACGCCAGCCGAGTCTACCTACTAGCATAGATATCTAGCAAGCATTGCCTGTTGTAAGTCTTGACGGCGGCCCTGGGGCCCTAGAAAATAAACTGCTTGCCCCCGCCCACTAGTTCCGCAGATAGCCTGGCGTAGTCAGACTCCAAGCATCATCCACCTCAAGTCTCCTTATCGGCTTCTTACTCGCCCAAGACAGTCCCTCTATGTCCTTGTTTAGTGCATAATCAATGCATTAAGCGGGAAAGGCATGACTCGACGTTCTCAGGTTGAACCCCCGCAACACCGATTAACTCCGACCACCACCACCTCACCTCGTAGACCGCGCATAAACCCATATGCCGGGTGCATAAACCTCACAAGCTCCCAATCAGAGATTCCAGATAGGGGTACTAGACCCACCTCGACCTCTTCCCGCAACGGCCAGTCGATGATGACAGCGGCAAATCCGTAAAATCCGGTATATCCGGCCGAAGTATGCTTGCTCGTCTTGAAGAACGGTATAAGTGATCTAGCACCCTTCATCCCAACGAGATGGCAGAACGCCCGCTCAACCCCACCAAAACGAATAGCAACATGCCAGCGCACCTCGAAACCCGGCCCCTGGGCAAAGACGGCCCCTCCGTGCCCCGCCTGGGTCTCGGCACGATGGGCCTGAGTGCCTTCTACGGGCCCCCCAAGCCGGACGCCGAGCGCCTCGCCCTCCTCGACAAAGCGTACGAACTAGGCGAGACCTTCTGGGACTCCGGTACTTGCACTGCACCCCCTCCCTCACAGCCGCCCCAAGTGGCCCTCCCCACCACCCCCGCATACTAACACGAAACCACAACAGCGGCCCTCTACGGCGACAGCGAAACCCTGCTGGGCACCTGGCTGCGCGCCAACCCGAGCAAACGCGCGCACGTCTTCCTGGCCACGAAATTCGGGGCCGAGTTCGTGGACGGCGCGATGATCATCGACAGCTCGCGCGGCCGGTGCCTCTCCTCGTGCGAGCGCAGCCTGCACCGCCTGGGCGTCGCGACCATCGACCTGCTGTACGCGCACCGGCTCGACCCCGCCGTGCCCGTCGAGGAGACCGTCCGCGCTATGGCCGAGCTGCGATCCGCCGGCAAAATCAAATACCTCGGGCTGAGCGAGGTCAGCGCCGCGACGCTGCGGCGCGCCCACCGCGTGCACCCCATCGCCGCCGTCCAGGTCGAGTACTCGCCCTTCGCGCTGGAGATCGAGTCCCCGCAGACCGATCTCCTCCGCACGGCGCGCGAGCTGGGCGTCGCCGTCGTGGCGTACTCGCCGCTCTCGCGCGGGATCCTGACGGGCCGGGTGCGGTCGCGGGCGGATCTCCCCGCCGGGGATATCCGGTTGTTCATGCCGCGGTATAGTGAGGAGAACTTTGGGCGGAATCTCGCGTTGGTGGAGCGCTTGAGGGGCTTTGCGGACGAAAAGGGGTGTACGGTGGGGCAGCTGGTGTTGGCGTGGTTGTTGGCGCAGGGGGAGGATATCTTCCCGATACCGGGGACCACGCGCCCCGAGGCTTTGGTGGAGAATGTGGGCGCGTTGGGGGTGCGGTTGGAGGTGGAGGAGGTCGCCAGGATTAGGGCGGTGGTGGATGAGGTTGAGGTGCTCGGGGGCAGGTATGGGGTGGAGGCGTTGAGGTCGTGTTTTGTCGATACGGTGCCGTTGGCGTAAGCTTCTGGTCCTGGTAGCAGATTGTATCTTATCGATAGTATTGGTTTGGAGTAAACTGTGACGGTGGCTAGTCAACAATGGCACGGGGTCTGTCGCTGTAAGCGCTGAGAAAACGGTAGGTGTATCATGTGGAGAGTGTGATGTAGCGGCGTGAGTCCAGCCCTGACCCTAAGCAGGCACTCACTCCTTACCTGGCAACCCTCACGCCCACTCACCCCTCTCCGACCCGGAGGGTCATTGCAGTATTTCTTCCAGAAAATGGATTCAGCATTTCCATTCTGAACAATAACGCATCGTAGTAAGAGAAACAGAGTCCAAACCGAGTGAAGAACGCACAGGCCAGACTCCGTACTCCGTAGGATCACCCGATATCCCCTCCCGAACCCCCTCCCGGCAAGCACCCAAGGCAGTGAGCACAGTGAGCACAACAAGATCAGCGCACCCGGAAAAAGGATTTCGACGGTGAGTGAGTGAGTGAGTGAGATGATGGGTGCATCCGATTCTTCATCATCGGCTCCACTCTGCATCACCTCCGCCAATAACGTTGCCCTTCCCTAGTTACCAAATACCCCAGAAAGCGGGATCGACGGGGGCGGGCGGGGCTGGCATCGTATGACGGATCGACTACCCCCGATCAGGCCACAAATACGTGGGTGTGATGCATTCACTGGCAGTCCTCTGCTTTATAAATACACCAACTGGTACCTACAACCATAAACCAACAATCCATTATCCAAGCACAATTCACTCCACTATTATACAACTACATTCCTCTACTCAACTACCACCATCACAACTCTTCCAATCACCCAATAAATCACCCACGAAACCAAAATGATGAACCTCTCCCCCCCACACCCCCGCCCTTTCTTCAAGAGCCACCCCCACATCAACCCGGCCTCCCTCAAGAAACCCAGCCGCTGGTATCTGCCCCTGATGGCGGCCATCGCTCTCGGTACGTTTACGCTCTTCCCCCCTTTTATCTTACCCCGTCACTCTCCCTCCAAACCAGACCTAACAGACCCCAAGGCTTCGGCGCCTACAACCACTACACCGCCACCGCCACCTCTACGGCGACCTCTACCTCGCAGAAATCCCTCCAGAACCAACACCTCTACCAACAGCAAGAAGAAGAGCGCCTCCGCAAGAACCGCGCCCTGATGGACGCCTACGGCGACAAGGAGACCCTCCAGGACATCGAGCGCGCGCTGGTCGTGTATGATCTCCAGTGATTATGCCCCGCAGATGGGGGGGGATGCGTGCTGTGCGGGTCGGCCCTAACCCGGGCATGGGAGTGGGGTTGAGGCCCCTTTGCATGGGATCATGATTATGGATGGCGTTTTGGGATTTTGATTTTGTTGGTTGGATTAGCGGGTTTGATGTTTGGGCAAGGGATTGGGATGAATGCACTGGTTGAATCGAAGGATGGATGCAGCTGGTCTGTTTCTGGTTCTGGTTCTGGTTCTGGTGCTTTGCCGGATGGCTACATACTATACAGGTGTTGGGTTGAGGAAGCCTGCCCTGCGAGTGTTGAGCATGGAATTAAGGGTTCTTTCTATTATACTCGTGCTGTACTCGTGCTGGAAATAAACATAGAATCTTAAGAATGGGTATAGTATATTATACATCTTATGTCCAACAAAGCAAAAACAAATTACGATCCGCCACAACACCCTCGACTAAACAGCCCACCCCACCACCACCACCCCAACAACAAGCACCACCCCCCAAGCACTGCTGCTCATAATAGTAGCAACCCTCCCCGCCCCCGAAACCGCAGTCCCCTTCGCCCCCGCCTCCTCCGCCGTCGCGTTAGCATACACATCCCCACCCCCTCCCCCCATCCCACCCCCCAATGCAGCATGCAAATCAAACTCCCTCGGCGCCACCCCAACCGATCCATCCCTCCGAATCGAACTAAAGTACAAATCCCCCACTTCCGTGACATACACATACGCCGCCTGGAAGAACGGCCGCCCCAGGATGATCTCCCCCCCACGACTCCCCACCACACACCGCGACCCCGCAGGGACCAGGTCCGCCCACACGGGGATCTCGAAGAGCGGGTACGTCGCGCTGTCTGGGTTGAAGACCACCGTGAAGTTGCGGTCGCAGAAGCTCGCGTCGGGGACGGTCAGGGTCTCGGCGGTGAAGTTGAGGGTGGCGGGGAGGGGTGTGGTGGTGGTTATTGGGGGGGATGTGGTGTCGAAGGGGTAGGTGGTGGTGTTGCCCGTTAAATTGGGCGTGGGGTAGAGTCTCAGCTGGACGCCGCTGGCGAGGAGCAGCGTGCCGGTTTGGGTGAAGCTGCCATTCCCCGCGCTGGTTTCCGGGGTGGTCTGCCAGTGCGATTCGTTCCAGATGCGGTTCGCGTCGTAGTTGCCGCCGAAGATCAGGGCCCCGGGCCAGTGGGACCCGAAGCCGAGGTTCATCCCTACGGGAAGGGCGGTCAGGTTTGTGGTGCTGATGTTCGTCGGGTTCTCGGCTGTTGCGATGACGGTGCTGAGGATGGTGAGGCTTGTGTCGGCGCCCAGGAGGAGGGCGTTTGCTTCCGGGTTCAGAGGGATTTCGAGGGTCGAGGTCGTGGACTCGTCGCCGGAGGGCGTGCCGATCGGGGAGACGGTAGCCGTGGGTAGGGCGCTGGTTTCCTGCGAGGGGCTTCGGGTTTTGTGGACGCTGGGTGCTGGTGCTGTGCCGAAGGTAATGGGGAGCAGCGCGGCGGCCTCGCTGTGCATGTGCACGTTCGCGCCCCACGCGGCGGTCGCGGCGCTGGCGGGCCCCGTTAGAGGGATGTACCAGGCGTTGTCGCCAGCGTCGGAGACGGTCGTGATGGGCAGCCCTGATGCGTCGATCATGGAGACGGTCTCGACGGAGGCGGCGGCCGTCACGGGCGTGGTGTCTACGGCGAGCTGCGCGGAGGCGAGGAGCCCCACGCTCGCGAGGGTGAAAAGAGTGTGTGCAAGCTTGCTTGCCATTGTGATTATCTGTGGGTAGTTGTGGTAACGACAGACTGCGGGCAAAGAATGACTGGCTCCCGCGAGGAAATGAGTGACTCGCGAGAACGGGTTTCAACGAATGTCAATGTAGTGAGTGAATGAAAGACTGACATCCCACACAGGCATGAAGGCACGCAGCTGGCAGAGTTGTCAAGAAGAAAGAAAAAGAGAAGAACTCTCATTCCGAAGAAGTTCCCCTGAGCTGACTTCGGTTCCTGCGTTGCATGGGGCCGAAAGGCAGGGCACGCGGCAGCCGGCTCGCTGTTCCTGCGTAAGTTCACGCAACAGGATCCTCGCTGCCAGACACAGCATTTGACGGACCACACATATTGAGGCGCAAGGTCGCTGGGGTTCGGCGCTGCGCCAGGGGGCAAATCGGGACGGCTTCTGGTGTTGCACTGTTGGGGGCGGCCCCAAAGCTAGCATCCTGGCGAGATGAGGCGGGATCCTGAAATCAGATTCGACACTCAGCCTTCGCGGGCAACCTGGTGGATCTTAGAGCATAGATCGCTTGTTGTTAGTCATGGAATTCGGTGGCTATCATGGTCGTGATGGCGTGCCATGTGTTCCCTCAACTGTTGTCTGTCGCGATCTCGCGATGATGCTTATCAGGATGTTACATGCTTTCAGATGGCGTGAAGCCTCCGGCACTTGAAAGGTCCCTAAGAGAACATGCTCCTCAGATCGAGACAATTGAACCGTTGGATGGTAGATTCGAATCCAGATACATTCCGACAATGAGTGATGTTGACAACGCAGGGAGATGGTGGAGATGGACACGCAGGCGGTCAGCCGATCATCATCCTGCCGGCAGAAGGCAGCCATAAAAGCGGTCAACACATTCCTCTCTCTGCTTCGTCCACACATCTCACTTCCTCCATCTTGGACCATTCATCCAAAGACCTGGTCAGTCTAGCAACTAAGCTAAGCACCATCAGTTTGCGGTACGGAGTGTGTCTCTCCGGCACTATGTCGACAACTGTCTTTGGGATGAAAACTTGGCACGGAAGCCATGCACAATGACGTCATAACCCCTGGCCATCTTCAATCCCTGAACACGGTGACTTTGCAGTTGGGATGCTCTAGCCACCTGCCTATATCCAGGGCAAGCTGTGATATGTCTCTATCCAGCCTTTCCTTCATTTCGGTACCGAATGTGCGTATGTTGAGAGTTCAATGGTCGCGACAAGGTTTACTATATAGTCCATGCACTGAATGAAACACTACACCAACCGGCCTGGGACAGTCAGTCGGATACTACGAGGATCTAAGTCAAAAAACTCAAAAGAAAGTGAGTGAAGTCCAAGGTATCCTGAATTTGTACTCGTAATGAAGATAACAACATATTTACAAGGCCCACCTCGAAAGGTCTTCCACATGCGCATCAAGCATCCACATCAACCCCCTCCCGTCCAGTCATCCCAGATGCCTCGGCCTCAATCTACGCGGACGCAAAGCCCGAGCTGATCGACCAGGTCACATCCGCATTGAACGAAGTCTTGGAGTCGAAGGTGTGCACGCCGCCGTTGCTGGCGATGTAGCCCACGTTGCTGTAGTGGCGGAACCAGCGGGTGGGGTAGTTCCAGGAGCGGATGGAGGTGCCGGAGCCGCTGAGGCCGGACTCCGGGCAGAAGGTGGCGTCCTCGTTGAACTGCTTGGTGCCGTCGCTGGCGGCGAGCAGCAGCTCGAAGTTGTAGTGGCGGATGTAGCTGCCGGGGGTGTCGACGGACTCGAAGGAGAAGCAGCCGGAGTTGGCCAGCCCCGCGACGACGGTCCAGCTGGCCTGCTTCTGCAGGGTGGAGGAGCTGGACGAGGAGACGACCGAGGTGATGACGTTGGTGGTGTTGTGGGCGAGGTAGCGGGTCGTGTACCCCGCGGTCGTGACGCGCAGCGAGATTGAGGAGCCCGCCGTCAGCGCCGACCCGCTGGTCAGCGAGGTCGTCGCGTACTTGGCCGCCACGATGTTGGCCTGCACCGAGTTCTCCGTCGCGTCCGACGGGTAGCCCGAGGTCATCACCCCCTCGTAGAAGGTGCCCTGCGCGCCGTTGCTGTTGTCGCCGCCGATCCCCAGGATGATCGCCCCCTCCTTGCTCATCGGGTTGTAGCCGCTCACCGTGGGCCGCGCGCCGCTGTAGTAGCTCGTCAGCGAGCCCGAGGCCGCGTTGCCACCGCGGATCGCCCACTGGTTGGGCTCGCCCTTGACCGCCGCCGTCACGAACCGGTAGGAGATCGACGGGTCCGCCGAGTTCAGGCCCTCCGCCTGCCCGGAGAACAGGTTGTTCTCGAGATCCGCCATCACCCACGGGCCACTGCCCGAGCCATAGCCCCAGGTCTTGCTGGTACCGTAGTAGATGGCCTCCATGTGGCCGTTGCCCGTGTCGGTGCTGCTGACCTCGGCGTTGCCGTAGTCGAAGCAGCAGGCGTCGTTGTAGTGCGTGCCGTCCAGGACCGCGTACATGCCCTCGGGCTCATCGCCGGTGGCAGTGCCGTTGGCATCGTTGTTGCGGTAGCCGGTGCCGGGCGAGACGAAGACACCGTACGCCTTCTGTCCGTTCAACGTGACGGGGGCGCCGATCGCGCTGGCCAGGTTGTCGTAGCCGTTGGACTCGGGCCCATCGAAGCCGCCCGGAGGAGCCTGGGTGAGGTCGTTTCCACTACCGGACTGGTCGTAGATGATCGAGATCAGGCAGGTCGTGCCAGAGCAGAAGGTGTCCTGGGCGGCAGCATTCGCAACCCCACCCGCGGTGAGCGGCTTGATGTCGGTGGTGGCACTGTCCGAGCCACGGATGACCTGGTAAAGGGGACCGGAATAGGCACTGTACAAGGCACGAGTGGTGCTGTGCGCAGCGATACAGGGCGCCCCACCGGAGGCATAGATGTCGCAGGGTCCGGCGCTGACCAGGGTGCCCGTGGCCGCCAGCCCGAGGAGGGTTCGTCGTGAAGGCATCTTGAAGGACTGTATGTGGAGAGACTGTGAGAGATGCTTGAGCGGCCCCTGAAAGGAACCCAGGAACAGGAAAGGATTTTATACCACACCCGTCCCTTGCAGATTCCCGGCCATCAGCATCCCAATGCGTCACGGTGGCAGGAACACTCAAATTCAGCCATTTGGACGGAACATTTTGTTCCACCTCTGATGCGCAGATGTTTGGAGCGGATCATGCGACGCTGCAGAATGACACCTCCATCCCGACGAAGTCATTGGAGGCGAGTCGCAGGTACCCCGCATGGTGGCAGGCAGCATCGTGAAGATATCGCGGACTAGGGCTAACCGAGGCCCCTGTGCCGCCGGGGTTTTTCCCATTTTTCTTCAGCCGGCGACAATTGCCCGACACAAACCGGTTGTTTAGCGCCGGGCTGAGGCTGCTATGCCGGATTGGGGTGCGGGGCCCCGGACTGGGACCTGAACTAGACGGCATTTCCCTTCTGCATGTGCGGTACGAAGGATGATGAAGAATTGGCTTTGCGAGACCAAGCATGCTAAGCATGATGAGAGAATGGGACGAAAGGGGGGCATCCCGCCGGGGCCCGCCTTCCCCCAGCTGAAGAAAGGTTGAGATGGTGGAACATGATGTACCAGATGCTGAAACTTGGGATGTCTCCTTGTCGGATCAACGAGGAAGTCTGCAATCGCAGACGAGTGCAGGCAGAATGGTGGAAGGATGCAAGAAACGGTGTCTCGGTGGTGGTGGGAGGGGGAGGGAAAAAGAGGAAACCCTGGTGCCTCAGGTCTCCAGATGTCAACATAGTACTGACGTCATAAGCAGTTAGTGCTGAAAGAGTGCGTAAACAATGTCCTGGTCTACAATTATACTTAATGCCATCCTTAATCTACTTCTACTCACCGCAGAGATTTGACTGAGCTACGTACTTTAAGCTTCAGTTTGCCTGTCTCTGACCGAGATAGCTATCGAATACTAAAAGAATAAACAACGTCCTTGTCTACGATGGTACTCAATGGTCTTGTTCTTCTCCTTTGTTCACAGCACAGGTCCATGTTTATGTCTGAGATAGCGGAGAAGAGTCCAAGACCTCGCCCTCCTAAAGTTTGACTTGGCTTCATACTGTGACCTTTCCGAGGGGCTAGGACATGTAGAACTCCGGTTGCCATAATACCCTCACCGCTAGTCGGAGTTTCCAAATCCCGAAATATGCACCAGGAGACTTCGAACGATCGTGTGGAGTAATCACTCCTTGAATCCAGCAAATGGGACCAAGTCAACACTAAGCGAAAAGCCTTCATGAGTTAGATCACACTAACAGTAGCATGGTCCAAGCGAAACATACTAGCTAAGCTAGTGCCTGGGCATGCGTTGCTTCCATCCACTAAGCTGATTCCAGCATGCAGCGCAAATGGTCAACATGGGATCGGCGTAGCAGCTGGAAGTCGATCACGAGTATATAAGAATAACCCCTTTCCATGTTCCAAGAGCCCGTCACTGCAGGCCTAGTGACCTTTCATTTCAGGTGACCAAGATATACTAATTACCATTCCGCATTGCCAGTTTCCTCTGCCGAATAATGCGCTACACTTTTCTGCTCACTGGCACTGCACTCCTCTGCCTCCTTACCAATGCCCAGGATGACGCTTCAGGCACCCCGGCTGGCGATATCGGCGATCTAGTGTGTGCGACAGCAACACAAGAAGTATCACACATGCCGTATCCTGGAGATGGCACGAAATGGATAAAATGCGATACCGAAAATGGCGGCACCGCTACAGTCTACACCTGCGATGAAGGGTTATTGTTTAGCTTTGAGGCCCAGACATGTGTCTGGCCGGAACAATCAGACGGTATGGCTGGCTTTTGAACATAGCACACCCAATACTGTGAGTTTGCCTGGCTCACGCTCTGACAAAGGGAATACTCTTATCTAACAAAAGATAGGACTGGTTCTGTTCATTTGAGATATCATGGAGGGTAATGGGTGTGTTTTCTTGACGAAGGTGGGGATAGTACTCTTTCATAGTATTCATATTGTTGGCTATGCGCAATCTTAGGCTAGAGAGGAAGCTCAGTGAGAGAGTATATTGGGGCATGGCTTATCCTGCAACACATTGTTCCCACGGAAAGGCTCGCTTAGTCCGGCTCGGTAAGATGTTGTAAGCATGGAGTTCCTTGTTAAAGGCCTCTGAGTTAGCCTCAGCTGCTAGATGTCTGATCCTATCCAAAGGCCATTTGAGCACGCGACTGAAAGGAGCAAGACTGAGGGTCTCGAGACTCTCGGGAAAAGCTAGGCTATACCAGCGAGCAGCCTTTGTCTCATGTTTATCATTATGCCGAGGATTAAGAGGCAATTTCATCATCCGATGGTCGATTTGGGTAAAACCTGCCTCTTCCCGGGCTCTGATTGTATCACGCGAGTTGTGGGCTATGGGCCACATAGTGCCCTGTGTTGCCTGCTTCAGGTACTGGTACCATTGGCCTAGTGCCAGTCCGTCCAAAGAGCAATTGGCGCAGCGAGATCCGAAATCGATTTCCACCTGTTCAAATCACGCCCCTGGTTGAAGATGCCTTAAGATCCGCCTGCAGAGATTCGGCCAACCCACGACACTGCAGGAAGAAGATCCCAGAAGTCTTCGCCAAGCGGCCAAGGACTCTCAAAGTTAAATGGCGCATAGAATTGGCAGTTCATTGGCGTGATTGGGAGGTTGTATAGGTGCTAGATCCACCCCAACAACAAAGGCTTCGGGATATTCATTGGCGACATCGATAGCTCAGATCTCTGTCCCACATCCCACATCAAAGAATCTACCATTCCTGAGATGTGGCGCGTAAATTAAGCTGGCAGACACCCGTGCTACCGTGAATAGCTTATGGAACAGATCGAGACGGTCCTGCTCCTCTTCTCCACACGGTAACATACAGACTCCTCTCCAATATCCATGATATGTACGGCCATTTTCTTCGAGGAAGAGATTTCTGTGCGGAGGCCCAAGACAAAGAAATAATGGGAGACAAGTGTCCCAACATCAGTCACTCATTGATTGAATGTGAATGAAGTATTATGGCGCAGCATACCTCGCATATGCAACCCAATTGCTCAGTCTCAAAAACATGCATTCTCCTGAGCCCGCAAAGCACAAGGAGCTACGGTCCGCGCTCCGTGCAATCAAGAACCACGTCGAGGGTCTCGAAGCGCATGAACTTGATTACAGCCAACTGGCGGCGCAACGAATAAACGTCTCGCCTATGGAGCTGGACGAAAAGTCAAGCGCCAGACCTTGCTTCTTCAAACCATGCCCTGCCCATCTTTTGATGGTCCCAGATGACGAATATGATCAGAAGAGCAGGACGAAGTACCAGGAGTTCAAATCTGTCCACCCGATCTTCCGACGCCCCATTGACTGCGCCCGCAACATGATCACATATTACTCTCACTTTTGGTTTGACTGCGCGATTCACAGCGAGAACTACATTCTCGATGGGTTGTGGAGGCGTCTGAGGTAAGCTAAATCTCATAGTCATGCTCATCTGGTGTTTTATCGTATCGTTTTGTCTATGCATCATCAATCTCGTCATCTCACACCAGACCATCTCCCCAACAGTTTGATGGCTGTTCCGTTCGAAGACCTATTCGAGTGCAACGAGCCCGAGTTCGGCACCCCCGAGCTCGTCAAGGCCAAGAGGGGTCGGGAGTCCCCGCCTATGAAGGCCATGGTCTACAACAACCTCGATGGCAACGAGAACACGCTGCTGCGCGGCGAGGTTGTGATCGCTCTTCGCGTGATCAACGGGCAGATGAGACGGTCTCGCTTCTTCGAACATTCGACTGTGCCGGTGAGGATCACCTTCTCCCCTTTCTCGCGACAAATTCCGGACGCGAAGCCCTGTGCCCTTCCAAGTTGGAAGTAAAACCGCTGAGTTCGGAATATGAAAATAGGTCCTTCTTTTCTCCTTCCTGGGACCGCAACACGCCCGGGTCATCGAGGCATATTTCGATGGCAGCTCGGTGGTGATGCGTCCTCTGCGGCTGTTTGATCTCCGGGAGAAGGACCAGACCTTGATCAGGACCTTTGCGCAGTGGTTCCTTGGGGAGCCGACGGGGGAGACCAGGGTGCTTCGGGGGGTGTGATCTTCGGTCTTCTCGACTGGGCATGAGGAACGTTTCTTGGTGAGACGGAATGGAGTATTGGTTTGGATTGGTTTGGATTGGTTTGGATTGGTTTGGATTGGTTTGGATTGGTTTGGATTGGTTTGGATTGGTTTGGATTGGTTTGGATTGGTTTGGTCTGGTCTTGTTCGGTTTGGTTTCTTTTCTTCTTTCCCCCTTCTTTTTCATTCTGCTTGACTGGTTTCTTCCGGTATGTAATTGTGACTCTTGGCTAGCTGGGGAGCCAGTTTTGCTTGATCTTGGACACAACAAGGAAAGGTTCTGGTGGTTGAGAGCGTGTAGATCTATGCATGATGTATGCTACCCAAAAGACAGGTCTCAACAGCCCTTCAAAACAACACCAGGGAGCCGAACTATTCGGCATGCTATACCATTCTCACACATTGTACTAAGATGTGAAAGCAGGACTTATATCAAGCTGCACCGAATATCGATGAGGGCGGCGACCGGCGAGGTCGTCTACTCTATACTCCATATAGTGTACGTACAGAACCCAAGCTACTGCACTTATCTTATCGCAGGTTCAACCGGAAGCTGCGAGCGACCCACAGCTCGGGGACAAGAATCCGGGATTAGGGCTGCATGGCATGAGCAACAACATACCCCCTGCCTGCAGCAGTTAATTAGTTTATGTTATTACAGTAGGTATCCAGCCTTAGTGATCATATATCTTATCACCGATGAGCTCAGAATAACCACCCCCAGATAACCCCCTACACAAGATAGACCGTCGATTGGAAGACGAAAAGATCCCCCAATCGGGCATGTCCAGGCGGGGACGGCATCCCACCCGCTGATTGGCCCGATAAGCCCCCAAGCGATAAATTCTGCCTGCCGCGGGCTTTGCCCGCCTCAACTACTGTGTAGATGCTAGTTAACTACTACTAATCGTCCTGATGACTACCGCGTACATTGTCTCCCCACGCATGGGAGAAATCATATATAAGGAGATAAGTGAATGCACCAACCGACTTGAAACCCATTATCGCCTTAGCGTACCGTCTGGCTCGTGGTGTCATCTCATCCCGGCCCGCAGAGTAAATTAAGCTTCCCCCGCAACCCTGGGTGGACATACCGCATGCATCCTTAGATCTGATGCGTGTCAATCGCCGATACCAACCAACCTCCCCCCTCTCGGCGATTTAAGTTACTTGTCTCTCCTCCCCCCCCGCCTTGCGTCTGCCTCTGAATATTCAATCAGTGTTCTGCTGATGGCAATTCTGGACGATTTTTATTCGAAATTATAATGACCACAGCAATGATGGACGAGAAGAAGCAACCGCACCTCGAGAATGAGGATGATGACGTCCAGTTGGCGCAGATGGGGCATAAGGCGGAGCTGAATCGGAATTTTTCTACCCTGTGCGGTCGACCCCGGTTTTCTCTGGTTATCTGGCCACAAAAGGCAATGTAATGCTAATTGCGAAGAGAAAATTAGGTCGATGCTGGGCTTGGCGTTTGCGGTGCTGAATGTATGTTTTGTTCTCGATGCAATCGGAGAGAAGCCCCGCGTATGAAAGGACGGAAGAACTAATGATCGAGGGTAGTCGTGGACGGCTCTGTCGGCTAGTTTATCGCTCAGTCTACCGTCTGGGGGCAGTGTGAGTGTTGTCTGGGGTAAGTATTGTCGGGCTGTCTGGCTCCTTTCCGGGGCGGATCGTCGTCGGGTCGATCTACCGCCGTTGTGCTCATGGTAACAACGACCAGGTCTGGTAACCGCCGGAGCATGTAACCTGTGCATCGCCATCTCGCTGGCGGAATTCCTCTCGGCGTATCCCACGGCGGGCGGACAGTATCATTGGGTGGCTGGTGCGTTCCCTTTCCTCCCTTTTCTTTCGTGGAACGTTATAGGGGTCTGTTTGGCTGACGACGGCGCAGCTAGTATGTCTTCTTCGCTGCTGGGCGCCCCCTTGTATCGCGTTTTCTCACCGAACCACCAGTTTCCTGGCCGAATTGGGTGCCGATTCTGTCCTGGGTGACTGGCTGGGTCAATGTGGCTGGATGGGTGAGGCTCCTTCATTATGTGGGAGTGTATGCGAGGCTAACAGTTTAGGTTGCGCTGGTGGCTACGAATGCCTTGCTTTCCTGTCAGCTGATCGCGGGGATTGTGTCCTCGGTTCACCCTGTACGTCTTTTCATTTTTTCTCCCTGGGGCCATGGGCTGCTGACTGACGATCCCAGGATTTCGCGTGGCAACGGTGGCAGTACTTCCTCATGTACATCGCCTACACGATGCTGGCGTTTGTGGTGAACGGGTTCATGAACTCGGTGCTTCCCATCATCTACCGTGGTGCTTGTACGTTTGCCTGGATTTATTTGGTGGTTGATGAGCTTGAACTGATGAGATTACCTAAGTCACCTGGTCGATTGGCGGGTTCGTGCTGGTGTCGATTACCGTGCTGGCTTGTGCCTCGCCGGACTATAACTCTGCCTCGTAAGCTGCGTTGCTCGGGCGCTGGGACTAGTTGACCAACTGCTGCAGATTTGTGTTTACCAACTTCATCAACCAGACTGGCTGTAAGTTCGAGTGGTGGACGTTCGCCAGCATCGCTAACATGATTAGGGCCGGATGGTGTGGCTTGGCTGTTGGGTGTGAGTACAGTCGTCGATCTGTGACGATGTAGCTAACAGACCCAGTTGCTGCAAGGTGGACTCGGAGTGACCGCGTTTGTGAGTTCCCCATCGACCGTCTGTCAATCAACACTAATCGACCCAGGATGCGGTCTGCCACATGATTGAAGGTAAACCTGCCCTCTCCTAGCTCCTAGGCGCCAACTGACCGACCAGAAATTCCGCAACCGTCCATCAAAGGCCCCAAGATCATGGTCGTCTGCGTGGGCATCGGCACCTTCACCGGAGCGATCTTCCTCATCGTGCTGCTGTTCGTGGCCGGCGACATCGACGAGGTGGTCAACTCGAGCGCCGGGCCCCTGCTGCAGATCTTCATCCATGCGACCAACAACCGCGCCGGCGCCATCTGCCTCCTCATGTATGTGCGGTCCACTGTTGCCCAGGAATGTTGCTAACGAACCCGATGCAGGCTTCCCCTGGTCTGTCTGCTGTTCGCGACGTTGAGCGTGATGACGACCAGCAGTCGCATGATCTTTGCTTTTGCACGGTAGGCGGCTTATCTCCCACGAGTGAAGATCGCCACTGACGACCTCGCAGAGACGGCGGACTGCCGGCGTCCAAGTTCTTCGCGCGGGTGCATCCCCGCCTCGGACTCCCTCTGAACGCGTTGATTCTGACCACCGTCGTGGTGATTATCTTCGGCTTTATCTATCTTGGATCTAGCTCGTATGTTTTTCTGTCTAGTCAAACGAGCTGCGCTTACCATTGAAGGGCTTTCAACGCCATCGTCTCGGCGTCGGTCGTGCTTCTGGATCTCTCGTACGCAATGCCGATCGCGGTGAACTGCCTGCGCGGACGACGGACACTCCCCGATCGCAAATGGAAGATCCCCAACAAGATTGGCTGGGTGATTGATATGGTGAGTGGGTTGCTATTGGGGGGCATGTTCCCTGCTAACGGGTCAGATCTCTCTCGCGTATATCGCACTGACCACAGTGTTGTTTGTGTTTCCCCCGGACCGGCCCGTGACGGGCAGCAACATGAGTAAGCTCCCTGGCTGGATGAATGCATAGTATATTGATTGGCAGCTGCTGACTGAGTGGGGTAGATTATTGCGTGGTTGCATTTGGGATCATCCTGATCATCTCGCTGATGCAGTGGGTGGTGGATGGGCGGAAGAACTTCACGGGACCTCGCGTGGAGCTGTAGGGCGATAAGTATGAGTATCTCTAGGATTAAGTGAATGTGTAACTTCCTAGGCGGTTGTCGAGAAATATAGCCGTGTAACAGCCAAGAGCACATTGGGAGGCTATCTGCAACACCCACTGTAACATTCCAGCCTCCGTCCCCACTCGGAGACAATCGGACCAAGCAAGGAGATTAGCACCCTACCTTGCTAGCACCAGTAATCATAATCAGAATCATAATCATATATAAACACAATCTCCCCGCACGCAACCCTTCCTATCTTCTCCCCTCCCGCCACAAACAACCACAACCACAACCACAACCAACAACAATGAACCTCCTCCTCCTCCTCTACTACACAACCACCACCCTAGCCCTCAGCGGGCTAAACACCCATCTCAACAACAACAAAGAATACACCCCGACAGCCCACGAACAAGCCCAATTCCCCATCCACAACCTCACAACCCCACTCAACCACTTCCCCGCCTCCGCCCGCTACCCACCCACGAACCTCACCTTCCCGCTCCGCTACATCCTCGACACGCGCCACTACCAACCGGGCGGGCCGGTCTTCCTCATCGCCGGCGGCGAGACCTCGGCGCTGAACCGCCTCCCCTTCCTCTCGCAGGGAATCGTCCACGAACTCGCGCGGATCTACCAGGGGGCGGCCCTAATCGTGGAACACCGGTACTACGGGACGAGTTACCCTGCCAGCCCCAGCCCCAGCCCCAGCCCCAGCACCAGCCCCAGCACCAGCCCCAGCACCACCTCCTTTCAGCAAAACAACCAAACCATCCCCCTCTCCACCCTAACCTACCTAACCACCGAACAAGCCCTAGCCGACTACGCCTACCTCGCCACCCACCTTTCCGTCACCGGCACCGGCCTCTCCCCGGCCACCACCCCCTGGATCGCCTACGGTGGCTCCTACGCCGGCGCCTTCGTCGCCTTCCTCCGCCACGCCTACCCGGACCTCTTCTGGGCCTCCATCTCCAGCTCCGGCGTCACCGCCGCCATCGCGGATTACTGGGCGTACTACGAGCCGATCCGCGCGCACGCGCCCGCGCAATGCGTCGCCGCGCAGCAGGCGCTCATCGCCTGGGTCGATCGCGTGCTTCTCTTGCCTAAGGTGGCGGCATCGTCCTCCAACCACGCAAAGGGGTCACCCTCCGAGTCACAAGACCATGCGGGAGTGCTGAAGGAGGTGTTCGGGGGCAGTGCGCCGGGTCTCACGGATGAGAGGTTCGTGGCCGGGTTGGCGGAGCCGTTGGGGCTGTGGCAGGAGCGGAATTGGGAGCCTAGCGTTGGGGGGCGCGGGTTTGGGTGGTTTTGTGGGAATATCACTGCGTCGGAGGTGTTGGATGAGGGGTTGGAGGGGGAGGTGGGGGCGAGGGTGAGGGGGTTGGTGAGGGAGGTTGGCGGTGGAGATGGAGATGGCGATGGCAAGGAGGAGGAGGAGGAGTTGGTGACGGGGGTGGTGAATTGGGTGGGGTTTGTGAGGCGGGAGGGGGTTTTCTCGGACGCTGAGGATGAGGATGAGGGTGCAGGTGAAGTTGGAGATGCAGGGGCAGGCGACGACAAACGCCTCCCCCGCACGGCCTCGACCAGCTGGAACTACCAGGTCTGCACGGAATGGGGCTACTTCATGCCCGGGTCGACCGTGCCGGCGCACATCGCGCCGCTCGTCTCGCGCCTCCTCACCCCGGCCTTCTGGGTCGACATGTGCAATGCCACCTACGGCATCACCACCCCGCCGGACACGGACCGCATCAACCGCTACGGCGGGCTCGCCTTCGCGTATCCCCGCGTCGCGCACATCGGCGGTCGGGCCGATCCCTGGAAGGAGGCGAGCCCCTTCGCGACGGGGCTGCCGGCGAGGAACTCCACGGCGGAGGAGCCGATGCTTCTCATCGGTGTGCCCGCGGAGGAGGTGTACGATGGCATGGAGGGCGGGGTGCATCACTGGGATCAGAACGGGGTCTTCGGGGTGGAGGAGTACTGGGAGGGGAAGAGGGTGGTGCCTCCAAGGGGCGTGCGGGAAGCCCAAGGCGAGGTGATCGGGTTCGTCGGCGGGTGGTTGGGCGAGTGGCGCGAGACCCAGCGCCAGCGCCAGCTACAGCTACAGCTACAGCTACAGGAGGAGCTGGAAGACGACCATCTCAGCAATGGCGAGGACACGCAGGCGAGCCTAAAAACCCCCGAAGCACATCATCAGATTATCCTCTAGCCGGTCTGTCCACCACCAAATAACCACAACACCCAGAAGGGATCTAATCGCCCGTCCCAATCTCCAAGTCCAACTGCACCCCATTCGTAATCCCATAGTCCCCCAGACTGATAAAATCCTTGAACGGCCGCTCCCCCTGCCTCTTCAGCAGGATCTCGCGCGGCGCCCGCCCGATCTGCGCCGCCACCAGCGTCTTCAGATCCCCCACCGTATCCGACGGCAGACAGGGCACCGTGGCCTTCGTGCCCAGCCGGTCGTTGACATGCACCAGGATCATGGGCTCGGAGGGGATCGCCGGCCGTTTCTTCTTTTTCTCCTTCTTCTCTTTCCTGGCGGGGTCGTCGGTGGAGGTCGAGATGGGCTTTTCGGCCGGTCGGTCGCGGTCGCGGTCGCGCTCGTCTCGATCTCGGGGTTGGTAGCTGTCGCGGTGACGGTCGCGGTACCGGTCATCCCTCTCTCGATCGCGATACCCCCGATGATCACGCTCACGGTCTCGCGCATCCCGTCCGTCTCGGCTGGAGTAGTCCCGTCGATCCCGGGGATCATACCCACCCCCTCGAGCCTCATCCCGAGAATCGTACTCCCGCCGCGGCGACCGCGCGCGATACCCCCGATCTAACCTTCGGGCGGCGTCGTCGTCCCCACGCTCCGGACGACGCTTCTCCTTCCATCGGAAGCCGCCGGTGGAGGATTTCTTGTGCTGGCGGGATGGGGAGCGGGAGCGGGAGCGGGAGCGTCGTCGTTGTGGTGGTGGGGAGTCGGGCATTTTGTGTGGTTGCCTTTCTCTGGAAGGTGTGTGTGTGTTGTGTTGGATGTGTGGTGCGGTGCGGTGCGGGCACCGACGTGGACTTAGTCCAGTCTGCGCTCTTGTTTTTGAAGGAGATGTGGAGGTCGGATGAGGATGGACTTGGTGGTGTGGTTTGGTGGTTTGGTGGTTGGGGGTAGGTGGTTGGGGGTAGGTGGTGAAGATAGAATTGGAGTAGAAGCTGAGGGAACAACAGGCTGGAGCTGAGGCAGCGTGATGAAATGGATGAAGGCGGTGAAGATGGAATGGAGGTGGTGGTTGGTTGGATGGCTGGGTGGGGATTCGGACGGGTGGGCAGAATGTGACCGCTTGCTTTCCAAGCTGAGCTGAGCAGCTACTAGGTAGTAACTTACGTATTTACTCTTTTTGGAAGAGGAGGAACAGTGATACGATGAGAGGAGGATAGAAGTAAATATGTAAATGTAATTCGATTGCTCAACAGGATTGCTCAACAATCACACTGACTTTTGAACATTACACAACACATCAAACTAGTACAGTACAGTACAACCTAGTGCAGCACAAACCAAATCAAGCATACTTCTCCAAGAACCCCAGCGCTGTCTTGTACCCGCGCTCATACTCCTTCTTCACCTCCTCGTCCTCCAGGTTCGACCGCGCCGCCATCCACCCGTGAATCTGCGTGGGGAACGTCTCCACATACCCGGGCTGCTGCAGATTGTTGCCGAACTGCTCCACGTCCTCGGGCTTCTCGTCCTTGGACGCCAACACCGCCATCGGCACGCTCACCTTCTTGGCGTCCTCCGGGTCCAGCATGGCCGGGTGGCACTGCACCGCCGCCTTGAAGATCGAGCTCTCCTGGCCCGTCGCCAGCGTCGCGATCTTGCCGCCCCAGCAGTACCCCAGAATCGACCAGGACTCGAAGCGCCCGGACGGGGCGAGCTGGTTGGCTTCGGCCACGATCCCCGGGATCTTGGGGAGGTTGTTGGGCGGCGCGGCTTTGGTCTGGAAGAAGTGGCCCAGCTTCTGCTTGTGGTCGTCGGTCTGCGGCGGGAACCAGGTGATGTGGGCGGGGCTGCCTTCGAAGAAATCCGGGATGAACACCCGGTACTTCTGGGTGCTGGAGTGGGCGAGGATGTCGGCGCCTTGCAGGGTCTGGTCGAAGAAGCCGAAGATGTCTGTTGTGTCCGGTTAGATGTGGCGGAGGTGTGACAAAGGGAGAGGTGCTGACCGTAGATGACGAGGATGGCCTTGGAGGCGGACTCGGGACCGGTGACATCTGCTGGGGATTAGCTGGGCTGGCTGGCTGGCTGGAGATGGGCTTGAAAGCTGAAGCTGGGGATACGGACAAGTCTTCAAACCGCCAATGGTCTTGTATTCACCCTTGGGCTGGTAGCCCTTGGCGACGACGGGGGGGATCCTGGTTCGTCAGGTGATGCAGATAGACTGGGACAGGTATGATGCTCACGAGCAGCAGGCCTTGTTGACTCCCGACATGGCGGCGGTGGAGCAGTGGAATGTACGGAGAGGATAGTAAGTGGTTGTGGGGTATCTGGTCAGCGATGAGATGGACCTTCGTAGAGAGTGGGTTAGAAGCTGTCTGGTGAACATGTTAGAAGAGGTGTTGGTGAGAGACGCACTGATTGAGGCAGACGTAAAGTTGTCGAGGTTGCAGTTGTGAATCAAAGGAGGAATGGAGGCAGCGAGCAGCGAGAGTTGCAGGAGAGCAAGCGAATTGAGGGGATTCCCCACCGACGTCATCCGAGTTCCCCACCTTTCCGGTTTCGCCCGTCAAAGATCTTCAACATCGAGGTTTGGCACGGGCTATACGAGGGTTTTTACGAGTGCGAGTGTCATCAATGCAGTAGATAAATCTGGTGGGAAAAGTATCCAGCGAATTTGGAGTGTTAATGCCATGGGAATGCTGGTTGATTGTCTGGCTAAGATGAGGTGCGAAGGTGGTCAATGCAAGTTCATTTTATGAACTACATATCGGGCGAAATATCCAGAGGCATCAGTCTCAAGATAGGATTTTCAATGATGTGTTGCTCATGCGAAACTTTTTTTTTTCTTTCTCTTTTCTCAAGTCCCTCATTTGTCCAGCTTGAGCTATCCACATGCCCGCGCGGAGACCAACTATATATACTCATCAACCATGCATGCACAGAGACTGTATCCAATCAAATAGGAAGTGAAAACACTTCTAGACATGCTTACTTTTGTTTCTCAAGGATACTAGACCATACAGATTCAGCATCCACACCCTACAGCCTCAGCATCCCTCTCGACCGATAGAGAATCCCAGCACGCCATAACCCCATCTCCTCACGACACCAGCTAATCTCCCAACATGCATTATCTCGGAACTACTCCGTTGAATCATCCTCTTGCTACTCTGCGGAGAGAGAACCGGTGCTAAATCGATAACCCATGAAACGCATCCTCGACAATGTCACGCAATGCGATCAATTGATGGCGCGTGAGGGGTATGCTCGTCGCCGCAATCGACACTATACCGCTATATATGAGCATACCTTGTACCTTCAACCTTTCACCAGTCACGACGGAACACCGAACAGCGAACGCCAAGCAAAGGCCAACCACCATGTCATCCACGGCAGCTACCCACGATGCACCCAAGAAGCAGATCCTGCTCAACGCGTTCGACATGTCCACCGTCGGCCACCTATCGCCCGGGCAGTGGAAGAACCCCAAGGATCGGTCGGGGACGAAGCGCACGCTGAAGTACTGGACGGATCTGGCCCAGTTGCTGGAGCGCGGGGGCATCACGGCCCTGTTCCTGGCGGACACGTATGGGGGATATGATACGTACGAGGGGAGTCTGGATGAATGCATCCGACGGGCGGCGCAGTGGCCGATGACGGATCCCACGATTGTACGTTCCTTTCAGCTGTTTGGTAGCGGATGTTTCGGATACCGCATACAATGAGACCTGAGTCTCTCGTTTTGTCGGTTAGCCATGCATGCGAGAGGAATGAAGATTACCCTGACCCCTGCACTATTCCACTTTCCCGTTCATCTCCATCCTCAGATCTGAACATCCGAGGGATAAACCTCTCAAATCCCCTGTTTCCTCGAGATGTCAACGACGAGGAAGCCCGGGTCTCTTAAAGAGCGTCATCTACATCGGATGATCCTCCCCCTCAGATATCTCACCTCTCCTCACCCAGTGCACATCTTCTGCTCTATGTATTCAATACCCTGAGCGCTAACCCGCCCTAACAGCCCATCTCCGCCATGGCGGCCGTGACCAAACACCTCGCCTTCGGCATCACAGCCTCGACCTCCTTCGAGCCGCCCTTTCTCCTCGCGAAACGCTTCTCCACCCTCGACCACCTGACCGACGGGCGCATCGGCTGGAACATCGTGACCTCGTGGAAGAAAGCGGCCTTCAAAGCCATCGGCATCGACACTCCGATCGAGCACGACGAGCGCTACGCCCAAGCCGACGAGTACCTGCGCGTGCTATACAAGTAGGCCACCTCCCTGCCCCCCCCCCTTCTTACCAGAACTAACCCCGGTAAAACAGACTGTGGGAATCCTCCTGGTCCCCGACGGCGCTCGCCCCCAACGCCGCGGAAGACAGCTACATCGACCCGGCGCAGGTGCGCACGATCCACCACGCGGGCAAATACTTCCAGCTGTCGACGCGGCACATCGTGGACCCGTCGCCGCAACGCACGCCCTTCCTGTTCCAAGCGGGGACGTCGGCGGCGGGGTCGCAGTTCGCGGCGACGCACGCGGAGGCGATCTTCGTGTCGGCGCACGCGCCGGGCGTGCTGCGCCCGAAGATCGCGGCCATCCGCGCGCAGGCCGCGGCGCAGGGGCGCGACCCGGCGGCCCTCAAGTTCTTCGGGACGTTCACGCCGATCCTCGGGCGGACGGAGCGCGAGGCCCGGGCCAAGCTGGCCGAGGCGCAGCGGTACGCGTCCACGGTGGGCGGGCTGGTGCTGTTCAGCGGGTGGACGGGCGTGGACATCTCCCGGATCCCGATCGATCAGGACATCACCGCGGCGGACAGCACCGAGGCCCACAAGGTGCGCAGCATGCTGGATGCCTTCACCACGACCAGCCCCGAGGTGCCGCGCTGGACGCCGCGCGTCGTCGCGCAGAAGGCCGCCATCGGGGGCTTGGGCCCCCTCGCCGTCGGGGATCCCGGCCAGGTCGCCGATGAGATGGAGCGCTGGGTGCGCGAGGCCGATCTCGATGGCTTCAATCTCGCGTATGTGACGACCCCGGGCACCTTCGAGGATGTCGTCGACCTGTTGGTGCCCGAGCTGCGGCGGCGCGGGCTGTATCCTGATTCCGTCCCGGAGGAAGGCGTGACGATGCGCGAGAAGGTGTATGGCGTCGGGCAGAGGGAGTTACGCGCGGATCATCCGGGGAGTCGGTATAAGTATCATGTGTATGTTGAGGATGAGGATGAGGGGGAGGAAGGAGAGGGAAAGGAGCAGCAGCAGCAGCAGCAGCAGCAGTAGCTGACAGGTGAGTGCTGCTGCTACTGCTCCTTAGATTGTACGGATCAAGACAAGAAAGAGAGAGCCTCCAGACGTTGTTCACATGCTATGACTCGACAACTATAACCACACCCAAACAAACCATCTTAGTCAGTAAATAAGTAGTAGCCAGTCTTCCGTAGGTCCGATAAATCGAAATCCCTGATTTCAGCACCCAACCCCAACCCATCAACAGATAAGCTACACACCCACCGCGCCACGGCGAACGCCGCCCTGCTCCATTCCCGTCAGCCCCAGAAAACCAAAAAACCAAAAAAAAGACCGAACCAGAAACCAGACCAAACCCAACCAAAAAGTGGAAAAACAAAAAAACAAAAAAAAAAAACAACAAAAAAAAACGCTTTTTTTTCCTTTCGGTCGGCCGCCTGCGCACTACACTGCATCAATGCTGTCTGTCTGTCTCCCAGCTCTTCCTCCCAGTAACTTACTGTACGGAGTCCCCCATCCCCACCACGGTCTGGACCGGTCTAGGTCGGTCGTTCTTCCATACCGCTGCGATGCAGACATTCCTGTCATGTGATGGGTTTGTTTTTTTTTTTTTTAACTCGCGTCGCTATTACATAAGGGGGAACCGGACCGTTACGGATACCCCAGGGCGAGGGCGGCAGCATATTTTCGCTGCGGTGAGGTTTTCTTGTTCTTGTTCTTGACATTTTGGGGGGAATCTATTCCCTGGAGAATAGGACTTTTTGACCGGGAACACTTCGTATCCAGTAGGTAGGTAGTAAGCGAATGAGCGAGTGAGTGAGTGTTGGGTCAAGTTTAGCTAAACCCGAGTGAGAGTAGGTGTCTTCGGATTTTGGGTTGGGGTTGGGAGGATGAATCAATACCATTCATTCATTCATATGAATCATTCATTGATACAGTCCATAGATTACAAGCTACGAGGGAGAGGCTGTATGGTGACTTGGAAAGTCAGCCTGGAGCTGAGCTGAGGCCGGCCGGGGTCACACGGACAGTCCAGAAAGGGCTCTGCTCGGCTCGGCTCTGCAGCAGCCTGGCCACAGCAGCGCACCATATTTGTAGCGTTCCCCATCAAAAGTCTACCTAGTAGTTTAGTCTACCAGGCGGGAACCAGTCACGGGTACTAGATACAGTACTATACATACCTCCTCCGTATACTCCGGACAATGCGAAATGTACTACTGCTACTAAGTTACCAGGTACCTACGTATCCATCCTATTCAACTCAATACAAATCACGTCAGGTAATTGTCTATAACTTGGTGCCTACAGTAGATAAATTGCTCAACAACCGACCAATCCACCTCCCTGTAATCCCAACTTGCCCCCGTGCTTGCAGGTGCGTCGTGCTTTGGAGGTAGCAGACATACAGGCGGCACACGGACTCATACCACTCTCGTCCCCGTGGTATAACTATATACTACTAATCACCAGAACCATCTACATTGGAGATCAAAACATGGTGGATCAGAACAATGTGTTCTGTTGTACTGTATGTACTGTACCCAGTGAAACCAGTGACAAGTGAATGCCTATCTTGTATGTCTGGAGAGAAACCAATCACCTATGTCAGCTCCATCTCTTCCCCGCACAAGAAGACGATATCTCCAATCCCTGCAGACCGAAATTGCTCTAGCGAAAAAAGAATGCGTTCTCGGCCAGAACCAAGGTGATGACTTCGCTCAGATCGGAGGCGTCGACGACGCGAACGCTTCGAAAATCTTCCGAGAAGACAACGTGATACAGATGACCGCGATATGCTAGGACCGTAGAAAAGGAAATGAGACCGGGCTGAGGATGAAAGATTATTGCAGCGATGGTTTACCTGGATAGCGTTTCCGCGGTGGTGTGCGGGTGAAATTCAGAACAATATACTCCTGGATCAGCTTGTCCCTCAGCAGGGGGAAGTACGGCCCCTTGTGCTTGAAGCGTTGCATATGCTGCTGGATCCGGTCGCCGCTGCGAAGTAGGTCTACCCCCCACTGCTTCTGGGGCACCAGGAAATCCATCCGCCCGCTCCGGATCCCCGTCTTGATCAGAGACTCCGGGGCGATGGTGATGTGGCGTTCGATGAGCAGTGGGAAGAGGTAGCGGTAGAACTCCTGCTGACATTGGGCTTCAATCGGCAGAGCAGGAGTATCGCAGAGCTGGTTGGGGTGGAATCTGCGGATCGCGTCGACCGCCATTCTCGAGAGGGGACTGATAGACGAGTTCTTCTCGGGGGTGGTTTGGCTTGAAGAGGAACTGGCAGTACCTGGGTGGGAGAAAACTTGATCAGCCCCAGCAAGATCTGGCAATACTCTTAAGCTTAAATAATCGACAAAAGTGAACGTACCACCGATGAACCTGTGTGGGGAACATGTAGTATGTCTCTCCTCCCTCCATCTGCTCTGCATGGAGCCATCCGTTTCTCCAGATATCTTCGAGCGCCCGCTCTTCATTCAAGTCGCTGGGAAAGCTCGACCGGGTCGTTCCGTCGCAAGCAATGGCATGCTTCAGAACCGTCGCGTAAGCGGAGTTTTGCATCATCCTCTGTCTCGGCAAGCCTCGGGAGAAGATGGTCGTCCTCAGAAGCTCGAAGAACAGCGCACCATCACCGAAAAGCCCGTCGCATGCGGTTTTCCAGTCGAGGGGGCGGCGGCTCTGGATCGGTTCTTAGAGTTTCTATTTATTGGGGAAAGACTGGTTAGCCAGCTAGGCTATGTAGGCTCTCCCTCCCCCACCAGCTCGCGAACATTGGCTTATGCTTACCGGTATCGCTCGCAGGACATGTATAAGGGATGTAAAGAGCCCAGCATGCCCACCACTGGTCAGGAACAGTCCGTGGTTCAATTCGTCCGTCAAGAGCTGCTCACTCTCTGGAATCACGGTGGGCAGAAAGCGTGGAAGGATGTCGTTGGCTTCGCTCTCCTCGAGCAGCAAGCCAATCGGCTTCCACTCCGGGTCGATCGCTTCGTCTGGCCGGAGGGATATCTGCTGGTGCGGAAGGAAGGTCATCATCGGGTGGTCTTGAATGGTTGATGGTCGTCGTCTGCGGCCGTGCCGTAGCGGGCGAACAGGACGATCTTCGCCGCATCGCCGGGCCCGCAGGACTTGAAGAGCGCACTCCATAGCTGCCTGTCCCAGTATTATTCGTGGGCCTCGTCCACCAGGATGTGGCACGGATGATCCCGCAGCGAACGTTCGGGGACCCCGATCAGTGCTTTCAGATAAAGGGTCCAGCCGCCGGCTCTCTCGACCCTTGCCTCTTCCCAGCCGTCCAGGATATAGATCGGAGTGGTCGGGTGGCGCGCGAGCAACTCGTTGGCGACGAGATTCAGCATCGTGGTCTTCCCGGAGGCAGGGGTCCCGTTCACTCGAATCAGGCAGTAGCGATCCAAGCGGGCGATCAATTCATGGACGAAGTGAGGTCGCTTGGCAGTCCACGGGGGAACAGCTGCAAAGGGTCAACGGCAGGTTCCTTTCCCACATCAGAACGGTACGTACGCACCTTGGGGCTCGGTTGTCTGCGCCACGGGAAGTCGAGAGCCGGAAGACCCTGGCGATTAGATCAATGATATACCTTGGATGAAGAAAACACGGGAAACGAACCATAGCTGCCATGCTTGCTTAGGGGATGTTAACATATGTTACACTTTGCTTTGCGGGGAAGGTGGTCCAGATTGGATGTGCTTTCTCCCGAGGCGCACTGGCAGCCTCTCACTTCACAAGGCCCCATGGCAAGGAGTAGTCTCTTGGCTTCAGTCTCCAGCAAAGCGGAGGAAGGCGGATCAGGCTATAGTTGGGATGAGCTCGCCATGGTGATAGTCCTACGCTAGAAAATTATAAGTGACTTGGCTCGCAGTTCCACTCTGGAATTCTTATCTCTGATTTTCCTGACACGAGGTGGAGAGAAGCACATATACAGTGATCAGAAGTTAGCGTCGCAGCAGCGAAACAAAACAGTCGATCTGGGAAGTACTCTACGTCTCAAGTTTCTACATCTAAGTCAAACGTATTTCACAGTTGAGTGATTCTCTCTTTGTTGATCAAAGCGGGGGTGGCTGGCGGTACTGGACAAAGAGCCGTCGGCCTGGGATAAACTCATGAAAGGCTATACCTGCATTATATAGAAGCCGCGATAGATGCGTGCCCCATGAGAAGGCTCCTCTTAGAGCTACAGTAGTGGTAGGTACTGAGCAAAGATACAGCAAAGGAGCAAGAGGTAGGAGTGGAGATGTAGGGCGGAGTACATGTTGTCTACAGGCAGGGCAGCCGAGAGGTGGACCACGAGATAGCGGTGCTGTCGATGACAATGAAGCCACTCACGCGCGCCGTTCGGCTCCGACCAAAGACGAAATACCGCAAGGGTTGAAGGGATTTTCTCATCTCCCCCGTAAGATGTGCTGTATCCAGGCACGCCTCTGCCGCACGCTGCAGGCCGATCATCTGGGCGAGTCTAGGCCTCGATGTACTGTAACAAGCATCTGCCCTGTGCTGTGTACAGCATACAGTAAGCGAGGAGGGTGCGTGTCGGGCGGCCGGGGCTCCTTTCTCTCTTTAGTTGCTGTACGGTAGGGTTCATCGTGTGATTCTTATCTGTCACTTTCCGGCATGAGAAGTCTAGCCTTTGAGCTCGGAAAGGATATGCGCGGTATTGCAGGATGAAAGGAAGGGGAGGCAAGGTGGTTAGGTTTGAGGAATGTGGTGTGGTGTAGGTGAGGGTGCCTGTAGGGATCGTATCTGCAATCTGAGGGCGATGGGCAGGAAGGAGAAAGAGTGCGTTTAGTCTATCAATCCAAACGAGCCAAGAAGAACAATAAAGCAGCAACAGCAGCAGCAGCAGCAGCAGCAACAGATAACCGAGTGAAACATCCGCCCTGCACCAACGATCCTCAAGTTCTTCCGACCCGTTAACCGTTCTCCACGGTCGGAAGGCGTACCTGTCAATCCGTGGTGGCCAGCACGGGTGGCAGAGGGGCCCCTTCAGGGACCTAGCCTGCACAGACTGGGAAGGAGGGGGACGGGGAAGGGGGAAAAGAGTAAGATCCTCGAATCGCAACCTGCCATGGGAGAGAAAGATTCGACCATTGTCTCCGATCGGAATTGAGTTGGAAGGCTACTTCCTGCCAGGTGGTGGTGGTGGCAGTGGTGTAATGATCACAGTAATTCCGGTGGGGAGGAGATCATTCGTGCTCCGGTCCTGTCATGTTTGCCTCAGTCGAGAGGGGAATGGAGGGAAGGGACCTTTGTCATCCAACCAGCATGGCCCAAACCATGCTCCTGTGCAGGGGATGGGAGAAATGCTGGGGAAACACATGCCAATGTGGAGTACGGAGCGCAGGAGAGGAGGCGATGAGCCTCGGACAAGCATCTGCGATCTTGCACTGCAGTGGGGGGGGGCAGAAGAGGGGAAGCGATGATACCTCAATACGGAGTAGTCTAGTACTAGTAGTGGTGATGGATGCACAGTGGTTGATGTTGGTGATACTAGTAGTTATAACTAGTAAGTACTGTAGTTAAGGGTGGCGGTAACTAACTTAATGGTACCGCGGACGCGAACCCTCCACCAATACCCGACAGCCTGGTCGCTGCCCGCGCCTCCCGTCGGTAGAGGCCAACTGGTGGTGGACCGTTGGGTTGGCTGGCTGGCTGGCTGGCTGGCTGGCTGGCTTGTGACTTCAAGGTTGGGAGAGTTAATTAAAGTTAGCCCTCCGTCCGGTCTGCTACGGCGGGCACTCCGCCCACCCCCCTCCCCCCGGGGGGAATCAGCCACACTGGACTATCCACGGAGTAAATTATTGCTTGTTGATGGGCACAATGCCGCAATGACGCAGAGAGGACAAGATGGCAAGCAGCTAAGCCTACTTGAGGCTGGATCCAATGCAGCCAAACCGCGGGCCTGCCCGGCCAATAGTGGCTACTGCAGCATATCCCAAGGGGGTGGCTCGAAATCCACCGGGGTCTGGCCGATGCCTCTGTCCCTCCATCACTTCTCTCACCCACCCCTTTCGCAAGCGACAAGAAAAGTGGGAACGATTGATAAGGATGGTTAGTTCAACAGTTCGAGTTAGTTCGATTGAGGAAATTATGCACCAAAGTTACCAACACCAGCCGTTTGATCCAAAGAAGCTTAGGGAAGAGCAAAGAATAAGTTACCTAGTACCTTAGTACCTAAACAACACGAAGAACGGCCGAAAACAACAAAACGGGGAAGGGGTGGGTAGAGGGAGAGAACAATCAATATAGACTAGAATAGCGAAATCATGGATATCCACTGGGCATCTCGGTTGAATCGTAGATTCCAACTGGAGGTGGTACTAGACAAGCCAATCACCTATCGAAAACCACTGCAAGATGACCAGGCGGGAAAGTCTCGGCTTGTGCGGGCTGCAGCAGTTGACCGGCATTAGACCTGATCGGGATTAGACTTAAAGTGCTAAAGTGGATTAAGTATTGTGAAGTCTTGTTATGTGTTGTTAAGTGTTGGCCCTGACGCCCGAGGGTAGTAGGTACTGGGTAGGTATTGCTGTATTCAATTGATGTACCTACCGTATGGCCAGCGTATGGCTGTATGCGAAAACACGAGCCATCCACCAATCGCCACCACTATTTGGTCCCTCCCTCCCCCCTTCTCCACCCCAGCTCATCCATGGTTCAGGATCCGAGCAACTTTACTGCTTGTCCCCTGCCAGTCGCTTCGATCTGCCCTACTCCCTATTTTTTCAAACGGACGCGTGCAGGTGCAATGGCCGTATCCCCGATCGGGATCAGAGGGTCCCTACATATTATTGGCCCTAATTGAAGAGGGTTCTGCATGCTGCATCCCAAAGGAGTCGGTTATGGTGCTGCTGATGGTGCAATGATTAATTTCTCGGAGGAATGGGAGGGAGTGAATTGGAATCTCACTCGCATCAAGTGGTCTGTCCACCCGCCCAACCAGGGTCTTGATTGTCACTGAAATGGAAGCACTTTGTTTTTTGGGGAGCTTGGTGAGGGTAAGTGCCACTCACAGGTGACTGTGAGATGCATGCATGGATGATGGATGGTGAGGGCCCGCGGGCGGTTGGTCGGTCGGGGAAGAGCTCGGGGCTAGCACTGGAATGGGAGAGGAGAGTCTCCCACTGAGGGCAGGCGGACCAGCGAGGGACCATTGTTTGCCTTGGACGGCTTGGACGGGGAATGAGGTTCTTTGTTCTGCTGGCTGTCCGTGCAGGCCCTGTCAGTTCAATCCTCACCGGGGAGTCGAAATATCATCGACATCAGGGGGAGTGGGAAGAGGGAAGATAGAATGATCATAACGCAGTCTTTAAGGTTATACTCAGTACCAATGTAGGTATAGTAATACATAGTACTCTGTACTCCGTAACTAGGAACTAGGAACATATCACAACCATATTAATGATTCCACTGGATCGGAGTGGCCATCGAAGCTTCGATGAGGAGTGGATCGGGGAGGGTCTCTTCCGTCAAAAAGTCGTGTTTATTTTCCGGCGTGTCAAACCACCGACCGCTGAGTAAGAAGGGGAGACTGACCAGACACAGTCACCGTCCAATTTTCACCTGACTGGTAGCTCACCTTAACATTAACATCAACATCAACATCATCATCATCATCCATTCATAATCCTTTTATTGTGATCAATTATTGCAAGATTTCCCTTCTCCGTTCTCCCTCCTCTTCGACTGAAACGATAATTCTTCAATCAAAATCACCAATGGTCCGTAGCCCGAGTGACTCGCCCCGCCCCGCGTAAGACTCAGCAGTAACTAAATAGCATGACCACCACACCGGCCCAGCATCTGTCATGCATTCCACGACGCAAGGAGCAGCAGATCGCTTGCTTGCCCCTTTTTCGTCGCGCCGAGTCCTTTAAAGCCAAGACCACTTTTTTTTTTATCGTGATGATACGATCGATGCATCTGATTTGCGCCCGCGGGGTTTAATCGCATTTCCGGTGACCATCAGACTGGACTGGGGGGGAACACCTTTGCTCTCACTCTCTACCTGGTTTAGGAGCCATCCCCGGGTGTTTTTGGGAAATCCTGGCTGCGACTAGGATAATGTCTGACAATTCCTCTGTCGTTCAAGGAGTGGTCATGTCGGCGTCATGACAGTTTGTAGTATCGTGGGGAAAAAAGGATGAATGAACCAAGTGACGTGCAAATCTCCTGTGCCCCCCCCTTCCTTTCTGTGAGATTCTGACTTCTGATCGATCGTCGTGGCCGCCGCCCCCCCTCCCCCTCTTCCCTTCCCCGTCTGCTAAGCTTAAAGCCAAACTCCACCAAACAGGAAAACAGAAAAGAACCAGAGGGCTGATTCCTGCTGGGGTCGGGCTGGCCGATCGTCGAACTGCGCTCCACATGCCTATCTGACCAAGCTTGGTCGACAGGGAAGATGCTTTAGTAGTGCCAAAAAATCAATAGAAAGTAAGAATAGAACGACCGGCGAGCGATAGAGAAGAGGGTCATGGGGGAACAGGGGGGTAAAAAAAAAAGTACCTGCCGAATAGGATGATTATCATTCCAGCCATCCCGCGTGCATAGGGATGCGCGAGCAGCTGGACTGAGTGACTCTGGGCTCTGGCCTCCAGGCTCCATCCAGGCTGAGTAATTTACTTCCCGAGAAGGGGGAGAAAGAGGGAGTGGTTACTTGAAGGGGCAATCACCTCAACACAGGTACGATCCTATTGTAGATAGTACGTGAGTAGGAAGTACGGTAGGAAAGTAGGATTCCCCCAGAGGAGGATTAGTAGGGGGGTGGGGGTGGTAGAACCGGGTTTGAGATTCCTCATCTCTGGTCCGGAATTATTATTCTTATCATTCTTTTGATAGTGTTTCTGTAAAATTTTCATGCTTATGATTCTTTACCAACTCGGTCAGGACCACGCTGCAGATGGGAGGTCTAGCCGATTCGATGCTATCGAGGTGCTGGTTGCTGGTTGCTGGTTGCTGGTTGGGACAGAGTCAATTTGAGGATGGAGATGATTCTCAGCTGATGACAACAACTATACAAGAGCAAGAGATAGTAGTCTAACTAGTTATTCGGGCCTACCCCTCCACCCCTACGTCGGGTGGTGTGGTACACAATCATGTGGTGGTCGGTTAGACTTAGCACTTAACTCAACTTAAGCAGGCCCCTAGGGGGGTGGCCACAGCGGAGGAAGAACAGGACCGAAGAACAAACGAACGAAGGGACTAGGAAGACAAGAGGATGGATGGGAATGGGAAGAGCCGAGAAGGTGGAAACCCTTTTCGGGCGTCTGGTCTGGTACCAGAGCCCTGTCAACCACGTTGCCGTTGATCAGTCGTCCTGGTCGTTTAGTGTCTTTAGTGTCTTTAGTGTCTTTAGTGCCTTGAGTCTCCTTTAGTCTCCTTTTTTTTCTCGGTTACTTTGGTTAGTCTAGGAAGGAAAAAAAAGGGTGGGGTGGGGAAACGAGCACTGCGATCCATGGGCGATGGGTCAGACTGTCTGACTGACTGACTGACTGACTGACTGTCTGTCTATTGGATGTCGCGGTTGTTCTCAATCAGGATCTTATTGTCTCATTCTCTATTGCTCTCATTCCCTCTGTCGTTCCTTTCAGAATATTCTCGGTTAGACAGAGGGGAATAATTGCAAAGAATGAATGGTGGGATTGTCTAGACATTGACTCGCTCACCTGGTCCAGATCCAGTCCCAGCCGTGCCAGACAATACACCACAGCACACCACCCGCTGACATGTATCATACCGTACACACGGTACAGACTGTACATACCGTACCGGACTGGACTGCAGGAGCAATGATTCCCCAGATTAGGGGATGCAGCCCGACATTCACTCACTTTTCTACGGAGTGGACTGGACTGTACGGAGCACGGAGCACCCTATACTAAATTATCCATTGCTGCTGCTGCTGCTGCTGCTGCTGCAAGTCCCATGGTTGATTGAGCTTCCTCTTTGGATTGTTTTCCTTTCCTCCTCTAACTTCTCTTCCTCCATTTGTGTTTACCTTTTCCTGGTCCAGGGGACTCCTGCTGCAGAAGTCGAATTCTCGCCCTGAAGAAACCGTTCATTGCAGAAGCATTCCAGCCTTTTCCTTCATGTCCAGCGTTTTTCCTTTGGACTTCCTCGTCTAATATTCCTGACAGTCTAGCTGATTTTGGGTGGGTAATTTCTTCCTGGTAATATTTCCTGACCGCGGAAAACCCAGAAAAAATACCATCGTTTTCCTTTCTTGGCTATCGCTTTGCGCTGTGCTCTTTGCACTTTGCTCTTTGCTCTCACCTCGCACTCTTTCTGTCTTGGTTTTGTCTGGTTTCTATTTTCCCTTTAGACTACTCGTTATATTTTTTCCTGTCATTTTCTGTCATAATTTCTTTTTTCTTTTTGTTTTCGGGGTTTCCCTAATTCTTCTCTCTTTTGCTCCCCCTCCCCTCCCTCTTCTCTCTTCCCTCTCTTTTTCTTTCTCCCCCCCCCCCGCACTGGCCAGACCCGGCTTTGGACTGGTCTGGATACGTCTTCATTCCCGGGTTGTTTGGGCCTGCGAAGGTCTCTGCCCATCCCGACCAGCAATCAATCATTCATCGACTTTTTGCACCTTTCCTTTGGTTAGTCTACCTAGTCGACTAAAATCTTCACCCGTTCCCAGAATAAATAAAATCAAAAGAGGCCCCGGACCGGCCAGCCGCAGCACCGAATCATCATTTATCTCCACCTTCTTATCTTCTACTACTACACTGCTACTGCTGCTCCTCGCTCTTCCACTGCTGCACACACACTAACACACTACTCACTACTATTCTATTATTACTCCTCCCACTACTACTAATCATCGCCATCTCACCACCTCACCATCTGGATCATCCCCTTTACTCTTTTCCCACGCCACTTCCCCTCAAGCATCAACATTATCATCATCATTACCTATTTTGTGTCACCCTTTCCCTGCGCCTCGTTGACTCACCTCCGCACTCGCACTTAGCCTTTCGCCATTCCACGGTACGTCAGCGTTGACCTGAGGGTCGCATCTAGCCGCATATCGCCTGCCTCGTCTTTACCACGCCTCGGTCCGATCTGTCACTTCATCTGATCTTCATTGATTCAGACCATGTGCGTGAGTGTCTAATCGTCACCTTTTCAAGAACTTGCTGGCGACTGGGTCGGTGCCTTTGTACGACCAAGAGACGGGTGGCTTGATTTGCCTTTTATTCCTCATTCGCTCCTGCTGGGATATGACTCCCAACTGAGCGCAAGTGGTTCACCAAGCATCGCCTTGAGACCTGACAACGGGTTGATCGTGCGCGATCTCTCTCATCCCGACTGCCCCGCGAGATCGCTTGTGGGCGATCCCATCGCCCCTCCTGGATCCTCCGGACATCTCTGGAGGCCTCTCTGGCAGTCGATATTGGACTCTTGGAACCGAAAGCGTTGCTTTTCCCCAAGGACCTTCGCCCTCGACTCTGACCAACGGCCCGTTGAACGTGGTCGATCTGTTCTCTTCTACCGGCTACCCTCGTGATACCAGCGCGAACATGGCTGCCCTTGCTATCCCCGCCCCCGGCATGGGGCCCTCGCTCGAAGCGCTGTCGGCTCCCCCGCCGTTGAACACCCGTCGCCCGGGCGCTCCCCCGCTCCCCAGCATGGAGCTCCCCAGCCGACAGTTTCCCGGCGCGCTGAAATACACGCAACTCCCCAATCCCTCCGCCCTCAATCCCAGCGTCAGCAACCTCTTGACCCCACCGGCGACGAGTCAATCGGGCGAAACCACCCCCGTCACCACTGCCCACCAGACGACCGCCGGGAATATTCCATCCGTGCCAGCCACACCCGATTTGGGGCCGTTCTGGCCCACCCAGAACTCATATGGCAGTGCGTCGGGTGCAGCAGCAGCGGCAGCAGCGGCGGCGGCGGCGGCGCGCCCGTCGTGGACGTCGAGTTTGAGCCCCTATGCGAGTCGCGACACGTTCTCGCCGCCCGGAAATAATAATGCGATTAGTCGCAACGCGGTCACCTCGCCCACGGGAGCGGACTCCATACCGCAGGGGTACGAGATGAACCAGCTGCCCCCGTTCCAACAACCGATCCCTGTCACTGCCGCGCAACCGCCGCCCCCGCACGCGCTCACGCATGCCGTGCTCTCTGCACAGCACGGTCTCCCGCCCGTGGCCTCTCCGCAGCCGCTCCCCTCGAACGATCCCTACATGGTCAAGTCCTCGTCCGCGCCCGCCTACAGCACGGTGCAGCAGCTGGCCAGTCCGCCGGGCAGCTATTCCCCCTACGGCCCCACCGGGATGGGCATGCAACCCCCCGGCCGCGTCGCGTCGAACCCCCACCCGGCGCATCACCTGAACTACCAACGCCAGCCCTGGCCGTCATATACCCTCCCTGGGTCGAGTGGGCCGGTGTGGACGAACCTGCACACCCCGAACGCCCAGATGTCCCTGACGGCGCCGAATTCGCTGATGCCCCACACTTTCAACAGTGGGTTCGAGGCGCACATGCAGCGAATGTATGGCGGCCACCTGCCGCCGCCGGGCCATGGAGGGCCCGGCCCTGCCAACGACCGACCGTTCAAGTGCGATCAGTGCCCCCAGAGCTTCAACCGCAACCACGACCTGAAACGACATAAGCGGATCCATCTGTCGGTCAAGCCTTTCCCTTGCAACCACTGCGACAAGAGTTTCTCCCGCAAGGATGCTCTGAAGGTATGCCTTTAGTCTACTCGGATCTTATCTTTTAGTTTACAGTGTATGCTGATACAATGTTCACAGCGACACATGCTAGTCAAAGGGTGCGGAAAGGGCGATTCCGAGTCGAATACGACACGGCCGCCAACGGTCAAGGAGGAGGATCGCAGCGACGACTCCAATGGACAAGCCTGAGGGCAGGCAACGGAGAAACATTGCATGTTTACGGCGTTGTGAGAATTGTTTATACGTGTTCAGGCCGCAGCGTTTATCTTGTCTTGTATCTAGTTTCATTGCGGGCCGGGGACTGGGACGGGATTTGTCTGTTGGGTTTGGCATCAGCGATGGGTTTATTGTGTTGTTGTTGTGTATACGTATGTGGAATGTAAGTAGAGCGATTTTGTTTCATCTTTGTTTCGGCAGTCCGGAGCGTTGGCCTTGTTGTTTGTTTGGGATATGGAGATATGAGAGTTTGACCAAGTCCTTGTACTGTACAATTGTGCATGCTTATGCTTCCTTGTCGTCTACCGTGCTAATGTGTGGAACACGGACAACAGCATCGAGTGTGGTGGTGGTGGTGCGACTCGACTCGGCCAAAGTAGATCCGTATAGGTTTCTCCGCGACAGGGACACTTGGCTGTGTTCGTACTGTACACTACACTACCATGAAGCTGCAAATGCATCTTCCCCTTTCACTATACAGCCCTTATAAATACCCCTCCTCCCCCTCTACCAAATTGATCCAGGACCCTCTCCATACCCCTCAAACGCATCTCCTCCAAGAACCACCCACCACAAAAACATGCCAATGACCATGCCATTGAAAACGCCCACGCCCCTCTCCACCCTAACCCTCCTGACCTCTTCCTCCCTCCTCCTCCTCCTCTGCCTCCTCCCCCCCCACGTCCAACCCCAATACATCGCCCCCA